AAAAACTAATAAATATTGTCATTTTTTTAGTCTTTATATCATATTTCAATCTCATTTGGAATCAGGAAGTTAAAACAATTAAAAAGTCGTGCACGCCTTTCCATTTCAACCTTTGCAACTTATAGTAACAAAAGCTTAGAGGGCTGGTTGTCACATCACACCCTGGATAACAACCTCCAAATTACTACCAATTTAAAAGCCTTTTATTGTTGTGCCTTACATAGGTATGTCAACATGCATAATAAAGTCATCTCAAACACAAGCCTGACCTGAGAAAATCAATCACTCAGTTAATAAATGCTCCACTTGTGGACATTCCCTGGAAGAGATAGAAACTGTGGCACTTTGAACAATCATTATATTTTCATCAAATATAATAGAAGGCCTGGGTTTATGTAGTTAGTAAGCACATGAGTCATGGTAATTGGGAGCCCACACCCATGAAAATGACATCATGTACTCATACTGTCATGTAGGGCCGCTGACACACCATCAGGATTTACTCACAGATGAGAGAGAACAGCCGAAGACAGCAATTATGTGGTAGACTGAAACCTCAACCTGTCAAAAAACACTTGGAAAGCAAATGCCTTTATCTCAAATTAAGCCATGTGACTCTGCCTTTGATAGTCCACTGGGTGAGATGTCTTGTGTTTTATTCACACAGCTTCAAACAATTAGAATAACCTTGTGATTGTGCGCCGTAACGCCCTCAGGATGTAGAGTTTAGGCATTTCAAATGACGGCAAAGAGCCCTTTGGAGCGGAGCCTGTTCCTGACATTTTCTTTGCTTTTTACATTCATCAGTGACAGACAACAACCTCATCAGCTTACATGCTACTCCAACATACTCCATTAAGGGTGCATTTCCATAAAATATTCTTTGTCAGAATCCAAAAATGGGCAAATTATCTGAACACTAAAACACCCCGGCGCACCGTACATCCCAAAGCAGACAGAAATGACCTCATTTAGGCTGTCTAAGCACAAGAAAGTGTCGCGCTGGTTACAGATCTGAGTGGCACGGATAGATCAACACAGCCACTTCTCTCACATCACCTGGATGAGCACTTTCACATTTGTAAATCAATGAGGAGGGTAACCACATGTAAAAGAGCTGGGAGGGATTCCTGTCTGCCTTGGCACACATTTTGAGAACCAAATTACCTCTAGTGCATCTCTCAGTCGGAGTCTACATTCCAGGATCAATCTGTCAGGAAAGGGTGCTTTAGCGTTGATGGATGTGACATGTGACTAACAACAATGTTGATCTTTTTTTTTTAATCCGCCAGATAATAGGCAGATTTAGGGTGGATTGTCCTGATAGAGCGGGTCTAGTTACAGCCACAGAGGCTGTGCTTTGTTTCCTGCTGCTCACTTTATGACTTCATTAATGCAATCACAAAGCTGTGGACACCTCAACAGCCTGTAAAACCATAAATCACACACTTAGATAATGATAGTGGGTGTTCCAGCTGGCTAAGATTACTGCTTTTACTACTATTGAAGTGAAAGGGCGTACAAGAGATACAGGTATATATATATGTATATGCACTGTACATTAGTGGATGCAAATAAAGCCTGAGGTGGCAACAAAGGCTGTTCTCCGTGGCTTATAATCAGCGCACATTTGAAACGTATGTGTAAAACATAATTGCAAGTCACAAATTTCAAGCACCCGTAAAGTAAATAGTCCAAACAAAGCCGTTATTGATAGGTCTCTTTTTTTCCCCCTATCTCTGAGAGCTTTTATTTTGTAATTGCATCCTGATACAACAACCACACATACATAAAAGATAATAATCGTTCTTTGACTTATGTCTGGCGTGGGGTTGAACATTACAGCAGCTTCCCCGTATTGACACAGCTGTTACACAAACCATAGACTTGCCACTGCAGACGACGGCATGTCTTTATATTGTGCCACACACCCACTAATGACAGCTTTAGTGGTGGTAATTCAGCAGGGTTGAATATGGGGTGAGGTGTGTGAGTCACGTCCTGGGCTCCCCCCTTCTCTCTCTCTCTCTTTTTTTTTTTTTGCCAGATGTCCTGCCAGGTTTCCTGCAATCTTACTGTCTCTGAAGATGTCCAAAGAATCTAAAATGGCGGCTACGTATGTTCTGAAAAATGAGTTATTTTTTCCCAAAGCGATAGTTTTCATTTAGTAGTTTGGTTATTGTGTTTTATTTAACTGCAGGTACCCACATTTATGGATGTAGTGGTGGAGGTGTAGTAGAAGTACTTTATTTTGGTCTGCATTTGAACTCAAAGAAGTTAAATAGAAATTAAAAGTAAATATATTTAGAGGTTAAACTGACTGAAAAAGGTGTAAGGTGAAGTTTTGGCTCATATTCTTTCTCTTTATGCAAACTTCACGCATGCAACCTTTTACCTACGAAGTCTACAAATCTAGCAGGAAAATCACTGTGAAGCAAAGGAGGAAAAAACAGTCCTCTGGAAAGTTTGTAATTACAATCTTAAAAAATGTGCAGTTTAGCGTCACCTGTAGTAAAACTGTTGTTTACAGCCTCTTTGAATAGTCATAATAATGTGAAGTTTCTCTGACGAGTGTTTGTAATTTCTTGACTGTTTTCCATGTTTTCAAAAAGAGCTAACCCTTGACATACTCTTAAAACGGCACTTTAGAGGTTTACAGGGTCAGATTAGGTGCTAAAGCGTCTCTTCATTGACCTTTGAACCAGCTCAAGGCTGTGAACATGATTTTACTTTATCTAATAAGACCCTTAACTCTATTAAATTCAAGTCAAGCAGATTTTTAAATATATTTTTCAAAAGCCTACATTATTAAACTTTTTGAAAATCTTCATCAAATAGCTAAATTCATTATAACACTGCCTGTGGTTAGATGTACACTGTTCCCTTTGGCACACCTCAACACTCCCGGGCCATGATGGACAAAGTGAATATGCACTTTAATTCTCTCACACACTCTAATCCCCCATGTTCCCTCTCCTCTGTGTCAAATCTCCACAGTGAGAGGGAGAGAGGCAGGGAGAGGGAGAGGGAGGTGGGGAGAGAAGAAGGGAGGGCTGGGTAGGTGGGAGGGTTGGTAATTCATGCACACATGTGCCTGCCTGTTCCTCCGGTGACAGGACCAGGGGGAGGGGCACATGATAAATTGCCTTCCACCGGGACCCTCCGAGCACAGCCACCATGATGTGGGGAGAAATGGAAATTGCTCCCTTTCACCGTCATTACATCAGTTTAGGACGCGTGTGGGCCTCATACACACCGTGAGAGGAGTTTGTTTCATCTGAATAACCGCTGTGAGAAAGACAAGGGACAGCGTATCTAAATAAATAGCGAGAAGTGTAACTGCAGCTGGGTCAACATTGTCCAAAAGATCTGACAAAGTTGCTCTTGTTTTGGGGTCGACATTTGCATAGAGGGATATGCAAAATACACGTGTGCTGATTTTTACTTAGTTGATTAGGTGGTTTATATCGAGAAGTAAGTATTGCTGCGTTAAGTCAGTGATTTACTGATCTGCTGGTGCTGATTTGTTGCGTTTGAAAATACGAGAAAGGAAAAAAATGCAATAAACAAAATTATCTGCAGTAAAACACGTTCATTACTATTACGTGCAAATCCACAGAGACAAAAACTACAAAGAAAAAATACTAATTTAGGAGTGTTATAGGTTTTAAACAGTATTTGCAGCGGACACTTTACGCACATCAGCCTTCTTATTAATTCACTTCTGCGCATTTTACAGGTGTGATCTTACATTTTAAATTCTAAAGCTCACTCTCAAATCAGTGCATCTATATCAACGAGTCAATGGCCTTCAGGGTCCAAACATCAGTGTGCAACGAAATCTGAAAGACGCTTTTTAAATTTTGCATTAAACTCAAAAACAAGCAATTAATTTAATTCGACGTCCATCTTTCTCCAAAGGTCATGAAATCGATTTTATTCCAGTATTTTTTTTAATTTGGGGCTTTTAAAATGCACAAGTGTGCTCAAGACTTTTTATAAACCACAGCAAACTCAGCTGTCCTTGTCCAAGTTTTTTTTTTTTCATGCGTAATCCACAAATTAGACGTTTTACGCAGAAAATTTAGCAAACCCCTTAAAAAGGAGACGCACTTTAGAGAAGTTTTTTTCTTTTTTGATAAATATTACCCATCAGAAAAATATGAACAGGTATAAAAACGCACTCTGGAGCTCGTTTAGCTCGGTGGAAACACACTGTCCCACACACACTCTCACACAACTTATCCCCACTCTTCTGCTTTTACCTCCAACACGTGAGCACTGATACAAATAAACTTTTAAATCTTCTATCGTCAAAAGAAAAGTTGAAATGCAAACTTTATCATTAGTCAATATGATTATATTGAAAGAGTAATTAATCGTTTGTGAAAGTGTGAAAATCTATAGGCCTGCCGCAGGAAGCTCACAACACATTTTTGAATTAATCTAACACACTGATGGTATTTTTTTTAAAGGATAATCTGAATACATTAAAAGATCAAACTTCAGAAAAGACGCACACGGAGTTATGGAACAGAATTGTTTCTTATTTTTTCCAGAATACATACAAAAAAATACCAATTCTCTTCCCAAGGTGTACACCTGAAAAATAACGGCAATTTAAAATGTGGACAATTTTCTGAAATTTAAGAAACAAACATGCATGTAAATTATTTTCTTCTCCATGAGACATTAAATAAGAACAAATACAATCATAGCAATTTGAAATTAACATCGAAATGAGGACCCCTACTTTTTAATTAGTACTCTAACATGTGTGTTTTTTCACTTTACCTATAGAGTTCAATTTCAACATAATGCACTTTTTGAGTTGCTCAAATATTTTCCATTTGCAGCTTTATTATCGCCTGCTTTTAAGCCGACATATAAATAAATACAGAAGTCCACGGAGCCCGTCCATACGTTTAGCGCTGTTAATATAAAAGTCTTTATATTTGCATTCTTAGATCTATAAATTTTTCAGTCTTTGTTTTTTTTCCTCACTGGTATCCAAGCGCTGACGCTGTGGTGAGTCTCTGGCCGTACAGTGCATAAGGGGAGTAGTACGGGCCGGTGGCGGCAGGAACGGGGACAGGGGCCCCGGGGGTCGGCAGGGGGCTTTTTGAGTAGGGGTGGTAGCGGCTGCTGAGTCCTAACGCGTGATGCGGGCTCCTGAGAGCCAAAGTTCCGGGACTCCCGGGGGCTCCTGACGGTGGCATGTGCATATGGCAGGCCATGGCTGCTGCAGCAGCGCTGGCCAGTGAAGAAGACCCGGGATAACCAGATATCAACTTCTCCGCCCCGGTAAAAGCAGTGTGTGTCCTCAGGTGATTCAGGAGCTCTTCTGAGGTGGAGAAACGCTTGTCACACGGTCCATTTGCTGACACCCAGTTACAAACATGAGGGAGGGGGTCGTTTGGGAGCATGAAACCGTAAGGGTACAGAGGGTGTCCGCTAAATGATGGCGCCGTGGAGTGGACGCCGTGTATGGGGTGTGTGGGGTACATTAGTGGGTAGCTGGATTTGAGGGCGTTAGCGGCAGCTGCAGCTGCTGAATCGTGCGTGCAGGAAGCGCTGGCTGCCCCCGCTAAGTGACTGGCACAATGGTAACTGAGGCAGTAAGGGTCTCTGCACAGGCTGGCTGACATGATGGACGGTGGAGAGGCCCCTGCCAGAGGGCTGGATCCAGCCTTACTGCAGCCCAGAGAGCTAGCCAGCTGTGCGTTTACCAAGCTCCCTCCGTGGGGCAGGAAGTGTTGTGGGTAACCCGCATAGGCCCCAGCCAAGCTACCTGGGTACGTCATGCCAGCAGGAGGCAAAGGAAAAACTGTCTGTCCGGGTTTGTAAGGAGAAACCGGCGCCACAAGTCCTGACCCGAGCACGGATGCGGATGAAACAGAAGTTACAGAGGGAGAGTCCGAGGAGGAGCTGGTTTTAGTGCCAGGCGTCGTCTCCTGGTGCTGGTTCACCTCCACGTTAATTCCACCACAGCTCACGCTTATCCTGCTGTGGCTCGTGGTGCCAGAGCCGTCCGTAGTGCCATTTTTGTTACAATCAGACTCTTTCTTGTCATCCCTGTCTCCACACTTGCCCTCTGATGGCATGGGAGACGCTGAAGTGCTGGAGTGGGGGCTGCCTGTCCGCGGCGTGAACGGCTGGCAGGTGGCGCTCGGCACTCGGAAACCAGACTTCTCTCCGCTTGAGACGCCCGTAGACGAGTCCTTCTTATCCGAGGGTTTGGAATAAGGTTTGAAGCTAGATTTGTCATCCACACCGATGTCGCTCAGTTTCAAAGGACCTGATTTAGATTCCTTTTCATTAGATCCATTTGTTGACACAGAGGATAATTTGGAGGAGGGTGGTGGGTCCGGTTTGCCGATCTGGGAGCAGGTCTGCGCCAGCAGAGCCAGCGGACTTTTCTTGGCATCTAACTGCAAAAAGACGAAATATATGTTGATAAATTCTTTTCACACTCAAAATGATTTCCTTCTTCCAAAACTTTCATAATAAACAATGAAAAAGAGCCTTTGAATGAGGATATTTACTGACATTTACACACGGAAATGCATATGTATCAGTTACGCACGGCTTTTACGTGATCAAAACTAAATTTAGATTATTTTAAGAAGAACTGTCGATGTATTTCACTAAACATTACTTATTAAACCAACAAAAGGGCATTTAGACTGAACAGTCTGATTTTCTTTCTACTGGAATCGGCTCTGAGAGCGCACAGACACGAAGCACCAGTTAATTAAAATAGCTTCAAGAACATTGTATACCGATTTACACGGCCATTAAAAGTCTTAATCTTACCTCTATGGGACTGACCGGGGTAGAAGGCAAAGGCTGCAGATACTCCGGGTGCAAAATGTGTCCCGATCGTGCGGTAAGCATTTTCAAAACCTTGATGGGGAGTCGGTTTGCTTGCCGTAGTGGATCAGACGGTGGTGCGGAGTGGAGAAAAGGCTTGTTGATGCTCGCTGAGCTGCTATTCCGAGAACTGCTGCTTTCCCAGGCTGCACAAATATCACTATTTTTCAGGGCAGACGCCGAGGGCGACGTGATCATGTCCCACTAGTCAGAAAATTAAACGACGATGCTTTCACCAGATTCATTAAGAAAATCTAAAAAGCGTCGAAGCTCTCACTCTCTGTTGGGAAGAAAAAAAAGAATCTTCAAATGGTTCAATAATCTGTAATCCTGGTGGTAGAGGAGCGAGGCGCGGCAGCTGGAAGGAGACTGTGCGAGGTTATCGCAGATCCGAGGCTGCGTCCTGCACCATGAGCGCTGCGCCTTGTGTGCGTCTGTGTGCAGGTCCTCGCTCTGTACTCCCGAAGTACGAACTGGTAGAAATTTTCACTTCAAAAGCAGCTGAATTAGTCCGAGATTAAAGCCTTTGCCGCCTTCCAATCAAATGGGACCCTGAGGTGATTGGAGGGTCAAGGGGATGTGACGTTCTCCTCTTTGTAAGCGCCTCTATTTCGACAGCTCGGGGGAGGAGATACGCTGCAATAACTTGGTTGCTGTGAACGCTTACGCTGTTTGAGAAGAGGGGCTGCGGGGTACTTGGCACACCAGGAAAGAGAAATCCTCAAATTGAAAGTAAAGTACGAACCTCTTCACATGTTGAAGCATGAGGCACTTGAACATTCTAGTTTTGGTATCATCTGATAAACAATGGAGCTGTTTGGCCAAGTTTTTGGTGGACATCCAATTTAAAAGAACTCTGTTAAGATTTAACTCCCTTGGATGTGTTTGGTTTTGTTTTCTATCGCCACAAAGACCTTCACATTTGGATGTCAGACCAGTTTAAACTAATGTAACCATAAAGCACGATCTAATAGAGATTTCAGTGACCACGTACCCTCATAATCGATCTCTATGTTTAGGAATAACTCATCAAAAGCCTCATAGATACTCATATAGGAAGCTGATAGTCAAAAATATCACTACTAGAAGCCGATAGCAACCTGTGCGAGTGTTTGTATCCGCTGTTTTCCATCTTAACCAGAGAGACGCGCAAACCGTATCCATTTTACGCACGTCCACCACTGGGACATTTCCCCCCCTACTGACAAACATAAAACCAACCACTTCAGCTTGAATTCCCTAAACAGACAAGCGTTGACAGGAATAGACCAATGTAGTGATGGAGGGATGTGAATGTCACATGTTTTCAGTATAATATACACCGCCCTTCTATTTCTATCTCCACCCCTCCGTCAAGTGTCAATTCTGCTCCACCGCAATCAATCAGTTATTTGTCAGACGCTGTCAATCCGCCGCTTGATTTATGTCAGCTATTGTGGCTGATTACATGCCAGTGTGACTGCGGGAGGAGAACAAATGGGGAGAGAGACATTCTGCAAGAGACACCAAGTTTTAGGAGAGAATAAATCGACTGTCGAGCTGAGGTTCAGGTTTTTTAAGAAGCATCGAAAACAGCCGAGATCCTCCAGTCCAGTCCAGTCCTGTCCTGTCCTGTCCGGTGGTGGATATCTGTGGACCTCTAACTTCGCAGCCTGTATCTACGTGCTTTCGGTCATTTTAACAAAGTCTGTAACTTTTAAAGTGCTTTTCCAAACAGCTCGGAGGTGGCACACATGATGAAAGTTTAATAACTTGCAGACAGTCCGGCGCATATGTTCTGTGAAGTGGCTGTTAAGGTGCTAAAGTGCTTTTTCCGTAATCGGCCGATTATGTAGTTAACAGGGAAGTCTGGGGAAAAACACGGAGAGAGGCGTGACGGTGACACTTTAAATAATCTTTAAAAGAAGGAAAAAATGATAATTATTTTAGGTTTAATATATTTTATGTATAATCCAAACAGTGACCCAAAAATGATAATGAGTAAGAAGCCGGTGGAAAAAAAGTGAACCCTGTCCATTTTTGGCTAAACGCGTCTGCTATTGTGTTGTTAAAACCTGTCATCCGCCTCGGGCACACTGTCATCTGCAACAAGAATAACAAAGCCCGGGAACAAAAAAGCAACTCCAGACATTTTATATTGATGTCAAGTCGATTTTATTTACATACAATGAAAATGATTTATTTTCTTGAAGAGGCAGAAAAGCGGACAGGCAGAGAGAAAAGAAGAGAAATGGTCTGTCAGGCCGCTGAGAAAAGAAGTTTCAAATGCCTTGAACTATTCACCGCTGAGATGGCTAATCAGTATTGAGGCTCGAGGGCAATCGGGCAGCTTTTCAATGCGGTTTTCCTTTCATCTCAATCGGGATGGAGGCGCTCAATTAAAAGCCTATCAGTTTGTTAGTAAATCAACGCCTATCAAAGTTGTCACATCAAACAAAACGATTATTATTGCAACCCGCCTCTGCCATTAATCTCTTTCTGTGGTAATCTACTTGACAGGTCAACTTGGAGAGCAAGAAAACCTGGAGTGGACAGTCAGAGGGCAAAATAGATATTTTTTTAAACAAACAAAAAGAAATCTTATATGGTTAAAAAGAAATATAGGACATGTTATGCGATTAAAATTCTAATTAAACGAACATTATGAACACACAGTAAAAAGTGCAGCGATTTTAAAATGAAGCTGTAACTCAATAGTGTTTCCAAAGATTGGCATTAGCTCGTATAGGCCTGCTTGACTGACTGCTCCATAAACTGTGTATGAATAAATGAAAGCAGCCAAAAGACGAGACGAGACATAATTTGGAGATCATGTGTAACATAAATAAACCACACATTAAAAAGTAGGCCAACAGTTCTCCTAATATAATATAAAAACACGTCTAAATGAACGCAGCTTCTATTGCTTCAAATGTTTTCTGTCTTTCTGTCTGGCAGGGAAAAAGGGGGGGACGTTTCACAATATGCAAAGATGTGTGATTGATAACAGGCTTGCTGTTTTCTGCAAGGGCTGTCAGTCCGTGACACAATATGTGAGTTATTAGGGCAAAGAAGGGCAACCATAAATTTTCACTGTCAGGCGAAAACCCTCTTTATTGTCCGTATGACGAATGGGCTCCTGCAGCAGACACCAAAATACTCGGCATTCTCCTTAAATGGGAACACATTTTGCTGCCATAATTCACGATATTTAAATAGAAACTTTTAATATGCCTGTATTTTTCAAAACATTGACATGTTTATGAATTACTCACCGCAAGCAAATACAACTATTAAATTCCGTGAGGAAATTTGTTGGGCTTGAAAGATTACTTTGAGCCACATTTAGGGCCGGCTGCTCTGTGAATAAAGGAATATAACTTGAAGTTTTTTGTTTGTTTTGTTCAGTCACATATATATATATATATTTTTTTTTAAAGAAATGAATCAACTTCCACTACAGAATCATCTTACATTATAAATACATTTTTAAATATAAAAAGTACCCCACTTTTTTTCCTTTGCCTGCATGTTTTGGAGCTCCTCACAAACTTAATGTTAATACTGAATGTAATCTGAGTCCGTTTCGCTGTATTTATTACTTTGAGGCGATAGTACATGTGAACACACACATTACTTTTTAATCCCTATCAAATGTAACAGATTAAAGAAAATTATAGGCGCTGAAAGAGCGTATCAAAACTATTAAACCGCATGCATGAGCTACAACAAGATTTCCAAAACTCCAAAAAGGAAGGAGAGGTTTACAGGAAAGTCCGTGACACCACATTACCTGGAATCACTGCCTACTAAGCTCCGGTGTAAAGCGTCAGGGAAGTAAACGGATTTAAAAAAATTAACACTTTAATAATATTAAGATGTAATCCTCCTGGTTAAAACCTCTTTTTTTTGTATTGCACAGCTTTCTGAGAGGTCTGTTACGCACCGCAAAGAGCTCAGTTTAGACTGAAGCCATGCAGACGTTCGCGCTCTCTCTCTCTCCAAGCGAGTAGCAGGGAGAGAAGCCAGCTTTTTCCGCGTGTGGGAGGTCCCACGTGACGTCACACCACATACAGTCCCATACAGGGAAACGGAGAGGGTGGATGTGGTGTTTCCAAACTTCCTGACCCTGTTTGCTAAATGGCACTAAGACTCAAAGTAATTCATCCCTCGGTTAGGCACAGTGCGTCAGGTTATGGCTTTAACAAGTGTGCATCTACAAATAAATAATGATACAGCTGTTAACATGACACTACTTGAAACTCTGTTGGCAAAGTTGCTTTGCAGAGTTTCTATGAGTCAGGGTCCGGGCCCTGTGTAGAGTTTTTACTGGGTTGGCTAACTTTTTTTTAGGGGGGTGGGGTGTTACCACTCCTCTGCACTTTATATCCCTTCTGGTCATTCAGTTTTTATCACTGTTGGTGACAGAGCTAGCCTAAGCCTCAATGGGGCCCTAGGCAAAATTTGATTTTGAGGCCCTCTATTTCTGTCAATAATATTGATTGTTGATCATTTACACACCTACTACAGTATAAATTTATTGCACCTGACATGTCTTTACACATTTAAGGGGGTGGCCTAGGTAATAACATAAATAATGCCAATGCAACCATACAAATAATACCAATGAATGACTGATGAATGAAGTTCAGGGTGCCATGTTTGGTTTTTCTCAGTGCACAAGGCACAGCAGGAGGCACATAATGATCGCAGAGCTTTGACATATCGGCAGTAAGAGTCATAGGCCTACATCAGCAGCAGTACTAAAATGGTTTTACTTTATTTTATTTTTTACAGTAATATATATTTGATCATACAGAAAGCATCACTCATATATGCCAAAAATAAAAAATATGTATATTTTTTTATTGCTCTTGGGGGCCCCCTATTGGCCGCGGGGCCCTAAGCAGGCGCTTAGTTCGCTTATGCCCTGGGCCGACTCTGGTTGGTAAACATCTCATCCCTACTTCTCGTAAAACTATACTGAATTCATCTCATACTCCTGTCTGCCTGTTGATGGCGCAAGTTAATGTCTTCAGTATGATAGTAAACAATGCTAACTAGCTTACTCTTTAAGTTTGCTAGCAGCTACAAGGTCCATACCAATATGAAATGGCAACAAAGCATATCCTCATTTTGCGCTGGAATAATTGTCTCAAGCGTCATGGGAGCTCATGCAGGTGGAAGCTGCTTTATGCTAGTATGATACAAATAAAGTTAAACGATAGTCGGATTCCCCCCAAAAAAGCTATGTGATAGTTACCAATCCGTAAATGACTGAATCAATCAATAGACTTGATGGCTTATTATTCTTATGTTGGAAATGGTTTTTCCAGGAAAATAAATGTTCATTTTTATACTTAAGTCCACCAGAATTTATCAAAACTTTTTTGGAGAAATATAGTTTATATTGTTCATAGTTTAAAATTTTGGGGTGGCCAGTTTTATAAGGGCCACAGCCACCCCCTGTAGCCACCACTGTTCAGGATAAAACAGAAGGTCGTGCTCCTGGAAAGGTTGGTTTTCTATTTTTAATTGTCAAAAGCATATTAGGCATATTTTTGGACACTAGACATGATAAGTGTCTCAACATTGTTACCATCTGTCATATGTTTTTATGTTAAGGTGGCCGACTTTTTAAAAATTCAAATCCATATCTACCCCTATATGTATATAAAGAGTTGTTTTGCTCCCTCTCTTGGATTTTCTCCTAACATGAAGAAAGGTAAGCAAGCATGAGGCAGATGTGATCACGTTATATTTACAGTAATTAACCTTTACTGTATTTGATTAAGTAATAAAAGATGATTCACTGATATGATATCATTATGTAGTCAACAAGTCAGATATTAATCTATCATGTCTGGTCGTACTGAATGTAATAATAAAAATAGAACTATTAACAAAATGTACATCAGGGACAAGCCTACACGCTTAAGATCAGTCTATACACACAATGTATTTGTGTGTTTATGTTTTTTAAGGCAGCTTGTGTCTTTCAGATTAAATACTTCTTAGTGACGGTAAAAACTCTTAAATCTTTCACCTCCAGTTTCTAGATTAATGACCAGGGGCATTTATATTCAGTTAATTATTCTTAGAAATTATTTGAAAATCACTGTTTACTTCACATTAACGGTGGCAACCTTAAGTGGAATCAACAAGTATTAATTATAATGTCACAGCGACGTGCCAACAAAGCTCTGTGCTTGGAAAAAAAGAGGTCTGCAGAGAGCTCACATCTAAGAGCTTAAATTCTTAGTAAGGAAAACAGAAAGTATAGTTAATTAACCCAGCTAATCCCTTGTGAAACAACATCTGAGTCAGGGTTAATATCCAACAGAATGCATTTTCAGACAGATTTCTTCTTTCTGTGAAAAGCAGATCCTGAGAGAGCTGTTACAGCCCAGTAGCAAATATCTAAGGCTATGTGGGCCTGAGTGATTCACCAAAACTAACTTAAACTGCATGGCTAAACTGATGAAGAGCAGTGGTTGCTGTTTGGTTTTAACATGGCGGTCAAATTGGTGCTAGCTCCATGTGGCCATGGAAAGAGTTGCAGTTTTGACTGAACTTTTCAGCAATGGAGTCGAGTGAGTTGAAAAAAGTATTTGTCACTAATTTCATTTCATGTCACCCCAGTCTGATTAAAGCGAAAACATTACATAAGATAGGACAGACTATCCACACAGAATCAAAGCTCTTATGGGGAACTCACTGTTTGAGTCACTTATGGCGCCCCCTGTGGACTGCGCTGTCTTTGCTTATCTTTTCCTCTTGATGTTTGAGTTGTTACTTCTGACAAAACATTTCATCCTGCTGACCTTTGACAGTCTAATCTATCATTTATTTATAAAAAAAGGGCTGTTTCTCCTGCTGCTTGGCTGACACCTACCCCCCTCACATTGATTTCAGGCGGAGTCAACGTAGAAAGAACATGACAAGGAGCTGTAAACTGCATGAATCCGTAAAACAAACAATTGGCAAACATTACGACCCTGCTCCTGATATTAGAAACATCTAAAACAATGTCACAACCTGGTAAATTGAGTGAAATTCATGGATATTTCAGCAAGTGTTTTTTTTTCTGATTTTGGCACAATGAAAGACAAAGTGATTTTTCAATGAAATTTCATTTTATTGCAATTGTGTCAGAGAGAACTTGCAAACAATACGGCATCTTCATTGACATCAGTTCACTCTGAAGCAGACTTTTACCCCATGGTTTCGCATGCACGTAGTATTGTTTGTACACAAGAAACCCGTCTATACAGTCGAGGCTTCAAGATGAGTTTCAGCCCATTTCATAAATGTAAAAAAACTTCTCACTGGAGCTTTAAATTTGCTTCTTGAGTCTTGTAAATACTTTTAAACTAGTCGATTTGTCATGGGAGATGCTTAATCTTGATTACTTCTTGATCAGACCTATGTTAGAGTTGTTGAAAACAGGTAAAATAGTAATGCTGAGAGTCACAGCTTCTTATTAAAAACAATTTGATTATAAATATTTTATATAATTTGATCAAAATACTTTTCGTTGTTGTCAAAGACTAGGCTTATATTTTCAGTGAAACTATTTTTTCCATCCATATCAGGGTTGCATTTCCATCAGAAGACAGTCAGCAGCACTGACATTTTCACCATCATTACACACTGCGTCCGCGTGCTTCCGTACAACAGCAGGTCAGCTGATTGAAACGGCACGCGGAAACTGTAAAGTCATTTGAAAAGCGCCAGTAGATCTCCAAAGTAACCGCCGGGCCGGGCTGTATCCACAGACTTCACCTTTTAATGTTGACAACAGCGTGTCTCTGTCGTGCGCAGGACTTTGGATATCAAATCAGACAGTTTATCTGACCACTCAGTCAGCGGGCTGTCACCCTCGGGACTAAGTTATGGCACAGAACGAGTCGTTAGTCGCGTTGAATGGGACCCAAGTAAGTTTCGAGAAACTCTCCCCCCTCTGTCAGACTTAACCCTCACACAGTTAGGCGGTTTCATATCACCTACATGTTTCAAAAGTGCACTTTTTAACGCTGCTTGAGCATATGCGAGTGTTGTTTATTTCTCCTACATCACCGGTGTCATGTGACCCACTGTGGCTAATGTTACAGTCGTGACTTTCAGTTTAGCAGTTACTCCTACAACTTTTACCAAACATCTATAGACTACAGCTCTAACTTATGTTAAATGGTGATACTTTGCCAAACAAATGCTACACATGTCTGCTCCTCTGGGTGCGAAACAGGGTGAAACAATCCCTGCAGAGCTAATAGCTGCTCCATATCGCCTAGCATCGTATTTCATTCATATTACATTCAACTCAATTCCAAAACTTGTATTGCTTTGGTAGGAGAACCTGTTATTAACCTTTAAATAGGTATATACCTAGATTTCATGATCATATGGTAGTTTTTATCCAACTGTCTTTTATTATTGTTGTCATTAGACTGTGTAATTTCCTCTTAGTGTTTACTTCTCTGCTTTCTATGTATTGGTTGCTCACTAATGTGTCTAGGTCAAGAGATTTCTGCCTGTTAAAGAGACAGTTTATCTTACAAGCTTGGACTATAATAGAAAAATGTTAGATTTCTGCAAATAATACCAAATATATACGATTTACACTATCGCTAAAATTAGTAACACCATCACTATCGCCAGGTGATAGTGGGGTAACCTGAAATAATATACCCAAGAAAAAGTACTTGTCATCAAAGTATATTGAAATAGGACAATACACGACAAATTAAAGTATTTTTTCTTTAATTTTTAACTGTGCAATGTCCAAAGGGAGGAAAAAAAGTGCCATGAGGGGAGCATATAAAAATGCAACAAAAAACTGAAATTGGGCATTCGAGAACAAAAAAAATCCTAAAAAATAAAATATAGAAACTGCAAACTTGGTTTCTTTTCCACCTATTCCTGGGACATGTGAGTCTTCCCTGGTGAAGACTCAGGGTCCTCGGCACAATAACAGCTGCAGGAGAGAGAACCAAAATATGGCATATTTTGAGTGAGTAAAAATAACCAGCTGACCAAAATATTTCTTATCACCATATGAATTCCCTGTAAAATCACCACTTTGTGATAGTTATTCATAACCACTGTGCTAAATAAAGATAGCATTCAAATTCCAGGACCACTCTTACTGACCTTATTCGCCCACATGCAGCTATGAAATCCACCCAAACCTACTTTACCCTCTCTCGCTATTGCCAGGTGAAAATCACCAGAACATGTGCCTGTAGGAAAAAGCAGGTTTTGGATCAGGAGAACAAATATGCCTTCAAAGATTTCAAAGGCAATGTTGAAGCTACCCAGGGACCCATGTTACTCAGACAAACACAACATGAAAATCACATAAACATGTTTGGTCTGGTGAAAATCACCTGGCGATAGTGTACTAGGGTCAAGACCTGCTTTGTAAAGTGTAATGAGATATCTTCTGATGTGGTTAAAAGAAGAAATGCTGATTGATTAGTTGACCTTAAAACTATGTATTGTTGTGCTTTTGCTAGAGATGCTTCTGTATCATCCTCACTTATCATTATTTTCCTCAGATTTCATACATCGGACACGACTGTATGGACATTCCTGACTTCCTCGGAGACACTTACGGCCACTTTGCAAGAAGGCTGGATCTAAGCTTCAACCAGCTCAGGTAGATGACAAATGCACAGATGACAAACATATAATCACCAGCATGTGTAGTGTCAGTCTCTCCCCCTCACTCTTTATCTGTCTGTTACTGGGAGACACACGTCTTTACATCAGGTGCAATTGAATTTGTGCCCTCAGTCTATAGGTGTCCAGAGTGTCATCAGAACATCAAAAGGCTGAATGAGAGTCAGAGCTGGGCGGGTGCCACGCTGGGGCAGGATAAAAGGCGCGATCGATAAATGTGACATGCTAATTCGGGGGCAAAATAGAAGAAAAGATTCCTCTGTCAGAACATGAAGGAACACCTCATGGCAGCCGCTTCAGAGGGGGCTGCCATTTCAACAGCAGGGCTGGCATAGTTGATCTGGCAAGTAAAGGGGAGGAGATGATGGTTGTAAGGTGCTTTTGTTTCTGAACCCCTTTCATGACTGTCAGGCCATGAAGCTGCTCAATAGAGGCAATTTTTTGATGAAATAGTTGTCTTGAGGCAGTTGTCTGTGCTGAAGATGTGGAGTCTTCAATTTAACTGATTTACATCTTGTCAAACAGGAAAAATCCACCGTTTATTGCAAATGTTCAGCTGATATCAACAAAACAATTTCAGATAAAGTCAGAATGAAAATTGGACATCATGGAGTTGCAGATTTGGAAATTTTTCACAATTGTAGTGCATTTGTAAATACACCTTTAATGTAGGGCTCAACTTTACAAAAGGTAATGTTTAAATATTCAGGGATCTGGGCAATAATTCAGACACTAACCCGTATTTTTGAGTGGGAGTGAACAAATTGTTGTCAGATAAATTGTGTGTAGCTGGAGTGATGTATAACCAGCACAGACATATGGATGTTGACCTGATAAAAGAACCAAAAGCTGGTGGTGCTAGCTCTGCTAATGTTAGTCAAAGTAGTTTGATGCTATTCACCTGAGGAGTCTCTGAGTTGAACTTTTTCTTACATTTAGACTAGTCAATGAGTCGGAATTTGAATTACCATTTTAATGACAATGAAACTATACTGTCATATTACCTTTAGTCAGACAGCATGTTTTGGCGTTATTAAGTGTGTGATATTATTTACCAGGTATCCATCTGGTATTTAAAGACCTGCTGTGATGCTTGCTCACTTTCCTGCTTCAAGTTCAACTGACTAGAAATGTTTTTTAGCAGCAGTAAAGGAAATGATGTGTGATGCTTAGATTTAATCATAGTGATGCCACCTAGCAACGTACCTTTCACACACGCAGTTGTGCAAAAAAAGTTTGCATAGAAAAACATTCTCAGAGTAGAGCTGTGTTCTTGCTTGCATCCTCCTCCTTTATCTTTGGTTTTTATCTGTTGGTCAGGACAAACTTATAACTGCATTTAATCACATTCATTTAGTACTGGTGTGGTTAATCAGAAGCTTTATGTGCTGGTATCATCAAACAAATCGCCCCTGAACAGCAGGTACTGCGATGAATCTATTGATTGTCATCTGATCATGAGTGCTGTGTGTACGGTACTAAACACTTGGACAGCTGAATAATAGATGCCTTGCTGTTACCTCAGAGGAAGTGTAAGCCTGGTGTGTGTTGCAAACAGCATTATGAAATCTGACTGAAACAACGCTTGTGTGTGTTGCTTTCAGAGAGATCAAGGCCTGCATTATGTTCCTCGCCCTTGAACCTGTCACATTAAGAGCTTGATGTTTATAATGAATTATTAATGGCTCAGATATTACTAATTCATTAATAATCCTCAGTTTGGCTAATCTGAGATGTCAGATATCTTTACCAAACTTCAAAGGATGGTGTGGGCAGAGAAGCGGCGCAGAAGTAATGAAGTGGTACTCTTGAACCATTTGGGGCATATATCAGTGGACTATTGATTGATGGTTTGCTATTGGGCAAAGTGATCTGTTACACAGCGCTCCATCTTTTTCTCCTATAGCCAGGATGCTTGAAGGGTTCACATCAAAAACCTGTCTAGAAAGGTAGCAAAAACCGGTCCTGAGAGATGATTTTCCTTCTCTGTTGTAAACATTTCATATGCACACCCCTTTCTTAGTTTTAAGCTCTAGTGTAGGCTGTTCTGCTTCTTCTTCTTCTGCGGTTGTCAAATCTGTTAAAGCCGGTTCCCACAAGTGAGTCTTAACTAACACCGGAAGCACAGAGCTCTGCATCTCAACTTTTTGCCACAAAGAAAAAACAGTACATGTAACTAACATGCTAGCATGGTAATATAGGCAATTCTCGTTCAAATCCTTTGTGGAGTTGGAGTTTGTGCCTGCTTATGTTGATTTGAACTTGTCTGGATTTTATGGGTGGGTGGAGTTAGGGAACACAATGAGCAGTCCAACATGTGATAAACCTACATGCTAACAGAATATCAACCCCCTCAGTAATTCTGATCTCTGTAAGAATGTACCTCAGAGGCCCTTGACTCACAGCCTTAATGATGGAAAGCTTTTCCTGACGAAGACAACTTTATTTTTTCATGACAGAAGCTGGCTGACAGATACGGGTTAAAATGCTGCCTCACATGTACCCGATAAAGTATTAAACACTTCTCTGTTTCCCAAATATCTTTGCCCTCAAAGGGCTGAAATATTGCAAAGCTGTCATGTCTTACATTGAGTCATTACTATCAGTTGACAAAAAACTATGTTTTTCAAAAGAGTGGATTTATTGTCTTAGTCTGAGTGAAACAGGACATATAAACACATGTAAATTGAACTTCTCATAGTCGGACTAACATACCAGGATCATGTAGTCGGGGATGATTTTCTTTGTCATGTATATGGCATCAATGTTTGCACGCTGAGCTTTGAGGGCTAAGTTGGTTAGCATGAATATGTTGCCAGGAAGCCTCAATAGACAAAGAAAGGGTGCATTAAAGACGAAACTTCCCTATCCTACAAACAAACAGTACAGAGCTGTAAAACTGACAGTGTATTATCATTCGATGTACATCCCATTAGCTTCTTGCCATAACGTTTTTCTGACTGGTTTTATACGTAATACATCAACTTGGAGGCGACCCAATAGTAACAAGCTGAAGGAGGGCATTTCGCCACCTACCGTTGCAGAGGCAGACATGCATCTGTCAATAATTCACTTTTTGCCTTTTTGCATGTAAATCTAGACAAGGACATCAGTCCAATTAATTCACCTATTTGAGCTATAACTGCAGCTTGTATGTAAACGAACTGAAAGATCCCACAGATAGCAACCTGAGTCAATATCACAATTGCTGTAAGAAGAATAAATTAAATGAAACAACATCTTACTAACACTGCATAGATAAGCATGTTTCAGTGGACTCCACACACTTGATTATTAATATTATTGACAATGAGATTCACTCAAGGATTTACACCCAAGGCAGCCTCTAAAAATTGAGTTCACCCGCCTTTTAATTATGAACACAACATTCATGGTAATCCCAGTACATTCATTGTTTGGATAGGGCAAACACAAGGATAAAGTCATAAAGGCGCTAACACACACATGTTTGGATCTTGGTTTGGTGACCAAGCTCGTCTTCCTTCTGGATGTTGTACAGCCAGTGCCCTCCTGCTTTAGTTGAGTGATTAAAACTTGATATTTGGAGTTTTAGATGTATTTGTACTGCAACAGGATTCAACAAGCTGGCTATATCTACGAAAGTTATTTTAGCGCTTGCCTTGTCCTTGCCTATAATCGGACAAGGCAAGCGCTAAAACAACTTTCGTAGATGTAGCCATCTTGTTTCTGCCTTTTGATTGTTTCCGACCTGGTAACTAAAACACTGGTGACTCGGGTGTGACGTCATTCCCAGCTCGGACTTCTGACTTCCCGAACGCAGCATTACTGTCTGATTGTTTGAGGGGTCGCCTGATTCGTTGATAGTGGATGGTGTTCGTTTATTGAGAAACTGGCAAGACTACTGTAGGGGATGCTTGGCACACTAACACAAATGTTCATGTGATTGTACACTGCAAATTTACAATATTATAATGTCTGTATTCAGACATTAAGAGAAAAGTACTCAGAGAAATGTGCTTCACTTTGTTTGGGGCTGTTTTGCAGATGATTGATTCTTATCTGGTACAGTATTATCGCACAATATGACACCATTTCATCTTGTAGCCTCAGCCTTCAAGAATCTACTTCCTGACATAGCATGTCAGATAGTAGAGACATTTGTGAATTGACACCGTGACCTCGTTTCACTGTCAGCTCAAGCAAACCAGGTGTAAACACATGCGCATGTGAGAGAAACTCAACGGACTGCCTTGGGCATCATGCACTTCTCCGTGCTGCTTGACTCAAACGGAGAGAGAGACATTGCCAGAGTTTGTTGAAGCTAATATGCTTATTTCTGTCACCTCAATTGACAACACTCATCCAGCGAGCTGACAATGAGTCAAAATGAGAAGCAATGTACTGGCACCACCTTTAACTGAGTGCTGTGTTTTTTGTGTGTGCTGCATGTATGTTTGTGTTTGTGTGTGTGCTTGTGTTTGGCGGTGGTGGATCTGCCTCCTTGAGTGTAACTGTGAGTGGCTGGGCAGGTAATGGCAGGATGAAATTATGGTAGCGGGCTGTCACACCCACACCTCTCCTTGTGTGTGCTACACTGTCAGCCTGTCTCATCAATGTGTTGAAAAGTGTGGCTCACAGTGAGATTTCTGTCTCAGGACTAGCATGGGTGGCATTGTGTCGTCCACTTTGTTCCAGGTCAGGTGTGTACACAATGCAGTGAGTGGGCATATGCTGTCATGACATGATTCCTCTCTGTGACCGGGATGCTGGCATCTGTTACAGTGCAGTGTTACTGTCTTGGACACATGGGGCTCTAGGAGGACACATGTCTGTGAGTCGCTGCGAGAATTCAAACATTTTTAGAGCCATGACAGCTTTTCTTCTGAGATCTGGCACGGCTTCTGGAGAAATAAATCATGTTTGTGCAACAACAGCAGCGGTGAAGCAGTCACCTAAGCCTAACCCTTACCTCACATTTGATGTAGCTGGGTACATCATGCAGAAATGTATAATGCAAACTATGCTACAAGAAATGTTAAATCTGTTTAATCATAATTCCAGTCGGTGCATTTTACAGACCAACTCATCTGTTCCATAAAATTCTATAGCAGCAGAACCCTACTCAAGTTGTGCTTTGTGCTTAATGTAATCCATCAAGGAACACCTGCACTAAATTTTACAATACAACAGCTTTGCAATAAATCTCCATTATACCTCATTAAACTTTCTGTGTTGACTCGACTCATGGAGCCTTTCTGCTGTATATTTGATTGTACATCATTCAGAGGCAATATGTTAAGGATTGGCTGTTTTATGGATATTGTCCTATAAATAAGCCTCTGGCAATCCTATTAGGCCAAAATGAATAGGAAATGGTCCAAATATATTTGGATTGATGAAAAAGATACGCGCTGGTGTTATGTGCACAAAACAGGTGGCTATGTGACCCTCGCATTGACCCCTACTCTGGCAGGCGCTCTGAAAGAAAAGAGGTTTGATCATAAACTTAATCAACAAAATTATACAAAATTATTTCTGCACATCCTGCTGAGGTTTGATTTCTTTATGCCGGATGCAGCGCTGTGTCATCATAAAAACTTTATCTGTAACTCTTAGTGCATTTCCTCCCCACATCAATCGCTTTGACATTTTAGCTCGTCAGACCAATTTAACACGTCTTGTTTATAACTTTAAAACTGCTTTCAATGACAGCCTGGCGAATGTATAACACAGCTGATACTGTAAGTGAATGTTGGCCAATTCCATAAAGGGTTGTTCTGTTTAGGACCCACATATAGATTTATCAAACCCCAGAAATCAATTACCTTTAACCTTATAGATTCTGCTGTCATGTCTTGCAGGTCTAATAGCATAACTTTATATATATCGAGTGGAGTGGTGTCGTTTAAGCCGAACACACACCCCGCAGGTGTTAAACTACACAGAGAAGAAATCTGGTGGTTGTTTGCAGAGAATGATAGCTTATCGGTAAGGAAGTCTGAAATCTTGCAAGAAGGAAGTGAAAAATAAAAGTGTTGCAAAATAAGTTCATGAAAGAGGGAACATGATGGACTAATCTGTTCTGTACAGCCAAATTAAAGTCAAATCCAAAACCTTTTCACTGTCTTACGGTTGAAAAATCTCGGTCCTCTCTGGCTGCTGCAGCAAGAATATGGTTCTTGTCCTGTCCCACACAAAACAGCCAAGTTAAAGGTCCTTTCACACCGGAATTGTTTTTGTTGTGCGATTATTTCGGACGTCAATACTTTTTTTCAAACCCGTATCCAGTCAATACAAGCGTTCACATCAGCGACGTTTTTTCATATCACGGTCGATCAGAGGCGAAGGAGGCGGGACTTTCCCCGGGAAAAGTCTTCCCTGGGATGCGTCTTTTCCCCCCCAGAAAGTCGCAAAATCGTGTTGGGCGTGATGTGTATAGTCAGGCGCGTCAAAATTTGCCCCTGAATATTTTGTAATTTCTCGTTCTTTATTCGCGTCGGTGTGTAAGGATCTTTAGTGTACCCACAGTGGACTTCATTGCAAGTCCTTGTATTTAGAAATCTATGTTGAAATCAGCAGGAGAAAAGCTAATTCAACAAGGTGGCGTAAGGCTGGGTCATGGTGTGTTCAAGGTTGGGTCGGTAAAATGAATGTGAAACTGAATCACATCTGTCCACCAAATCATGTTAAGGAAGCTCAGTAACAGTATCATGGTTAGGTTTTGTCAAAGCTAAAATAAAATTGGGTTGAATCAAGCGCTTTTTAATTTTCTTATCCCCCTTAAATTCATGAAAACTGCTTTTGTAGTCGTTCAACTGCTTTTCTTTTTACTTGCATTCAACCTTTCATTTAAAGATATCTCCATATTTGACATAGCATTGCAGTTGCTACCTGAGTATGTGTGTGTATGTACAGTATGTCTCTGTGTGTGTGTGTGTCTGAAGGGGTATGTGCTCACCCTGGCTATGTTGGTGATGGCAGGCGTTTTGCATTTTAATGACAAATCAAGTATGCTAACTCGCGCTTTAAAACGAAAGTGCTCTAAATGTCGCCCGGCTGTCAAAATGAGATGTAAGCGCTCTGATGAAAAGAGAACAAAGAAGACAAAGTAGGGAGGCCTGGTACACTGAGAAATGAAATAAAACCTTGTATGGCCTGTCAGCTGTGTCGTTTTATATTCATATCTAAAGAACATTATAGTATTACTCCGCCGCTCATGCCTCACTCATCTGTCTCTCTTGATTCGTCACAGGCGCCGCTCCGTCTTTCAAGTCGCTGTGTGTCAACACGGGAAGGGGCCTGCTAATTGACAAATGAGTGTCACAGACATCAAGTGATCCTTTTCTATCCAAGCTAGGTAGACTCCGGCTGTTTGATGGTGAGGGGAGGAGGGGAGGGTGTCAGTTATTGGCAGGATCCCAGTATGAGGCATTAGACCGGTCGGCGAATGAGAAGTGACAACGGCACGAGAGCCTGTCATTGTCTTGCCTAAGTGTTCAATCTTCAGAGATGCTGGTATGCAGATAAAGTGTCAGTTAGGAGGAGAGGATATAAAACATTGGCAGTATGAAGTCCTCAAATCACTTAACTGGGAGTGCAAAGTGTGTGTGTGTGTCTGGTAATAGTGGTGGCATACTCTGTCCTGCTCAGGAAATATATTCCATATCCGATCTATCAGACCTGTTAAGGCCCATCTTCCAGGATAACCTGATCTGTGTCTCATAAATTAGGGAAAATGCAGAGCTCTCACAGCCCTGTGAGATTTAAACCAGGCGGAGGCAGAGGGACAAGGTCTAGCAGGAGGTGATGTATTCATATCAAGGACACTGATACTTGAGTCTGCCCATGGTTTTTAATTTTCACATCGGGTGTTTTTATTTTTTCTAAATGAGATACGACTTCAGGAAACTGACAGGGTGACAAAACTGAGGATGTTATGCCTAATGGATGGCTTGTCTCATTCCTCCATCTCTTCAATTTGAGCTTGTTTCAGAATTTTACTCTAATAGTATTACTGCAAACACACTTTTCAAGGTGTTGAGGACAGTTAGAGTGGAGGGTCTGAGTGTCTGAGTCCGACAACGAAGAAGTGAAGAGGGATATACTCTGTCTACTTAAATAGTGTGTTTGAATGAATTTCAGAGAGTGTTTGACTCCTTAAGAAAAATGACTCAGGTTAATACCAATATACGCCTACTTAGGCAAACCTGGGATGACCTCTGATGTCTGTCTGTATTGCCTTTAGGCTGATGTAGCTAATCTAAAAAGTGTTTAACTTTTCCCCAACAAAGATTTACAGTCACACACATACACATACAAAGAGAGCGGGGGAGTTTTTTCTTGAGACACACAGGTACAGGGCAGGAAGGGAAGGAAATCCTCCCCCTTTTTTTTTTCACTGTTGACACAAAATGAAAATAACTCCAAAGCTCCTGTGAGTAACTTTTGGTTTAGATGATTTTCGTGTCCTCATGAACAAAGCTGTACCCTCTGACCTGAAGAGTTTTCTAATGGGACAGTCTCATCCTGCTTCTCCTAACACTCAAATATATCCAGTCATCATGAACCTCTACCATGGGAGTTGTACAAAGACTAGTTTCAGGAGCCTGCTGTTCATTGTTGTGCGTGATAGCGGCAGCATTTGTAGGTCACATAGGGGAATCTTGTTGGTTTCAGAACTCAACTCAACGCAAGATCACAGTCTGTAGGTAAAAAATATCAGATTTGATGAACTTGGCTAACATTAGCAGAGGTAGCACCACCAGCCTACAACTTTATCTCCACTTTCTCTGAACACTGCGCTGTGCTACAAGATGCCATCTTGTTTAAAGTTGGGGGGCAGCATGACAGTAGCCATAAATCAAAGCTACAGCCTCAGCGAATAGCGTTTACTATTTATAATCCAAAACAACAATATTGATTCTGTCATTTCAATGTTAGTGCCCAAAAATGGGCTTCTGTGTCTCTGGTATGGTCATCTGACAAGCCTCACTTTTCTGGTTACCTGGGTGACTAGTTCCCCCATCTGAGTTTCTGAATGGTTTAACCCATTTGTCTATCTGAATGATTTTCAAACTTATACCAGTCGATGTCTATGATTACCTGAAGTCCACTCATTGTAAATTTTCTAACAAGGGCTCAGTTGTTTTCTAAAACAGTAGACTACTGTAGTTCTAAGCCAATCTTACTGTAAAAGAAGTGAAATGTGCATTTGATAGGGTCAGTTTGCACTTTAATAGTGACTTGATTCTCCACAGTGAGAAAACTGCTATCACCATTTAAGGAAAACACTTTCAGTCAGATCAGTGTTGACGTGTTAAAAGATCATTGTTTCCCTCAGTGGTAAGAATCTATGGCAGACAGGAGTAACTTTAGGCTTTGGATTTACTCTTATTAGTACGATAAACGTCTTTGTCGGTGGTTTGGTCTTTTGAGGGCACCGGATGATAAAAATCCAAAGAAATGTCACCCTTATCTTTTCAGCCAGTTGCGCAGCCAGTCTATCAGCTATCGGCGGCGCATTTCTGTCGCCTTTGTGTAACTTATATAGTATAAATCTTTATCTCTCTGTTAAAACACAACAATAGCCAACTCATGGTAGAGGAACTGTCTGTTAATCACTGTCAGGAGCTGCCATCAGCCTCCTTGAGCTCTCCATAACCTCCTCTCCCCGTCAATGTGAGGCCATCTTGTGGTTTTGGATTCTGAATGGAAAGGAACATCTTTATGTTCCTTTTGTTCACATTATATATACTGGGCAGTGATGCCATTCCTTTTATGACTGCGTCACATTTTTTATTGTATATCCCAAGACGGATGGCGTGCCACTGACACAGAGATTTACAGGCCTTCAGCTTGCAGTGGCAGAGCTTTAGAAGGGTTTGCTGACATCTAGCCAACACTTTGGAGGAGGAGAATAAAAGCTGACATTTTATTGGCTCTAAGAGAGAGAAAGAGGGAGAGAAGAGTTTGGGGAGGGGGGTGAAGAGGAAGGGAAGGGAATGGGGAAAGAAAGGAAAAGAGATTCTGTTTCTCTACTTTATATTTTTCAGCACTGCCAGCTGTCACGGGGACTTTGCTAAAAAGATGGGATTTATTGGGTATTATTTAGAAACTTGTCAGCGGTAATGACTACAGCTATGATTTCAATTATCACCCACTAAATATAGCTTAATTCACTGCCTTGCTGGCCATAATGAGCCCTGACATCATTTTTCAAAAATTCGATACCATGCTATTTTAATATTTTATGTTGACCACCGATTTAATTTTCCTCCCCGGTGCTTGGCATGTGGCAAGGTCTCACTCCCTCATGTGCAGTTGGATAGTCAGAGCTATTGAGTTCAAAGCTGTCCCAGGGATATATTTTTTCCATTGACAGAAATCCAATTAGTTTTAGTACACAGTCTGGCTGAATAAAAAGGGTCTTAAAATCTACAATATGTTTCCTTGGCGTTTTAGCCGAGTGCAAAGCCAGTGATGGATCTTTATGATTTGACCTGATGGGGCCCAAGTGGACATACTCCCTTTTTCTATTTTGGCAAGTGAAAAACAAACCGTCCATATGTCTTACTCATTTTGACAGACACAGCAGAACCTTTTGATACCGCGTAAACATGCACTGAACGGCTAAGATCTTGACTCTCGTACATATTTAAACACTTATTAAATACTTCACGACTACTACACAAATTCTGCAGAAACACCATGTAAATATGAAAGAGGGGGAAAAAGTCAGATGTATAATTCATTAGTGACATGTTTAGTAAGTAGACGATTTTGGGAGCGTTAATGTGTACTCAGGTTTTGACATGAGGGTGTGCATTTTTAAGCACGCATTAAAAGGGAGATGATTAGGACTGGCACGAGACTGTCAATAACAGGCTTGCTGCTTGAAGTTGATGATGTGGATGAATTTCAATCTCATAAAGCTGCTTCCCGTCCTCTGTGGCAACTGGGTTTCAAGGTAAATAGCACAAGAAGAGTCATTTAAGATGCCCAGCAGTGATCAGGACCTCTCCATGTGAGCACTCTCTCATAAAAGAAACGGTAAGAGGGCGCCGAGTTGAGTTTAAAACACAACCTGTGTCTCTTTTTAGCCTATAACTCAAGCGCTGTTTATGTTCACCCCATCACACTTAGCCATCTCCCAGATTGATGATGTAAGCAACTGGAAGGCATGGAACACATTAGACCAGAGTAAAGAAAGGGCTGCCATACTTCTACTTCCCTCGGCTGGCTCCCAAATGGAAAAAAAAAAGGGAGAAAAAAAGATTTGGAGCCAGTTTTGGAAGAGGAACAAAGCAGCTTCCTTTGGTACGGTTCAGGCAGTTTTGGTCGCTTCATGGCCCTCAATCTCCCGCAGTCTTTCCTAGAAGGCCCAGGGGTACGAAGTGAAGACAGATACATGGCTTATCCATGCCAAGATCCTGGAGGATGATTGCACTTTTTTTTGCCATGTTTTGAATTTAAGGGGATGATTTTTTAAAGAGGGCTGCGTGATGAATGTTGTCAGTAGATGAGTAAATCCTATGACCATAAAAAGCTGTGGGAAGCTGTTATTAGATGTAGCAGCGCTTGAAAGCCTCATGACTTTTAAAAGAAGTTACATTTTAGTGAAGACGATGGGACTAATATAGCGATCTTTAACTCTCCATGATTTAAGTCCGGTTTAATCGGTGTTTGCCACTCTTGAGGTGATAAACGGAGGTACATGTTGGCTATTTTATTTGCCTGCTCTGCATTTTCAGGCCTCTAACAACCTTCATTTGTGAGTCATGGCTTTTTTTTTTTTTCCTATAAAATGCTTAAACCATCCCTGGCCCTGGACAGCTGTGCCACATTCTCTGCACAGCTGTAGCTCATTTCCTGTTTCCATTTCAGATAAACTTGCGCACATCTTTCACAGCTTTCACTTATAAAAAAAAAAAAAAAACACGGACTGTCCTTCCAGGCTGCCATCACTATAACTTGATATTGGTCAGACAGGAAGATTTGTGCGAGATAACTACACCCTCCAGCGCTCTGCTCCCTCTGTTATTCGAACTTGTTTTGTTTGTTTTATTTACAAAGTGTGAAGAATAAGTTTTAAAAAGTGTAGTTTGGAATGAGCTCAAAAATCAAGGGCATGTGATGCTTTTTTTTAAAGCTCCATCTGACATCCATCAGCATGGAAATATGTTTTAATGGTCAGGCAGGCTGCAAGACATCAGTAAGCTGTTGCCTCACTTTTCCACCCAGGGACATATCGAGATAAGAAACAGTGACGGCATGTTTCATGTGTGTGATGCTGACATGTCTGTGCTGGAATACTACGAGTAACAACCCTTCCATTTTTGGGCCAGCAGCCTGTGTAGAACAGTGTTCTTATTCTCCTCAGAAAACAGCCTCTCCATTAGGATAAACGCATCCACTTCCATCATAGCTGCTCCGCTGTGAGCTGCTGGCTGCCCCATTAGCTGACAGTATGATTATGTGCACAACAAACCCAACAGTCTTCTGATCTCCTCCGTCTGTCCAGACATTTGGTGATGTTTAAGAGTTTCTCCCCTGTGGTAACAGGGAGATAGCTTTTGCACCGTGGGCACTGTAGAGTTTCTTTATTTTCTCCCTCTGTCTGGAATCTCAGGCCCCTGGGTCCTCCAAAGCTCTGAACATGTCTGTACTCAGATGTTTCAAAAGCACCAAACAGCAGAGGAAGAGGAGTAGAAGGAGGAGGAGGAAGAAGAAGGGATAAAGGGAAGACGAAGGGAAATGGGAGGAGGGTGAGGAATCCTCATAGGGACCAAGTGTACATGTACAAGCAGACCAGGCAGAGAGGCCCAACAGGGTCTGCAGACTTGTGATCTGAGGGCCGTTTGTGTGTCAGTCAGATCAAAGTGTTTTGAAGAGAAGGAGAAATCTCTTTACCTTCGCTGACTATGGCAACCTTATTGGCAGCTGGGTAAAGGGAGGGGGAGGATAACAGAGAAACGCTTCAACTTGTGATGGTTTCCATTGTTTTGTTTCACTTCAAGTAAAAGACACATCTGTCCTCATTTTTTTTCCATACTGCTTTGGGCTTGTTTTTGGTTGGTAGAAGTAAATGTGTGCATGTATTGTATTTTAATGTCAATAAACATTATTTCAGGCATTTGGATGCATCAGTATATCATGTTGCATTGTATTTGTTGGCAGTCAGAACAACGTTGAAGATGTACCAGTGTTCGTTGTGAAGGAAGGTTTCTTTCTTATTTTATATGTGCAAACAGTCTAGACTAAAACACAAAAAGGGTAAAGGGTAAGCTGGCCTAGATTTGATGTTCTCAGTGAAACATAGCAGGTTTTGTATTCTGGGAAATGAAAGTCTAAAGGGAACAAAATCCCCTAATGTGGGATCAGCTTTTAATCTGAAGGCGAGATGCAAAAACAAAAGACCAGCAGATTATGTTTTTGATATTATCTTTGGACAAACTGTTGTATAGTTTGTCAATTATAGTATCTTACTCAATAAATAAATGACTTAACATTGGATTTTGAAACACATTGCAACCACAAATGACAACTGTATGAAAGAAAAACATTTATTAAAGCTCCTGTGAGGAACTTTTAGTCTGTGTTGACTTTGGCGCCCCCTGTGGACAATTTGAAAACCTTCGTATTGTTGCTGATTTTGTCTTATCCTTGCGAAATTGGTGTTTAATGACGAGAAATCTCCTCCTGTTGTCTTGACGACAAATACTTGCTGTAGGAAAAGAAACTAGGACTGTTTCTTCAGAGTACCCACCCCCCTCACTGCTGTTAAGGCATTAAAAAGCACAGTATGTCAATCTTGTCACCACAGAGATACATCACCTTTGTTTGAAATAAGATCATCCACCCTTTTGTCCTCACAGCTTGACCAGGAGCTGCACATTTGCAGTCATTTACAGATATGTATACTTTGAATACAAATACTGCATCAATATAAACTTTGTTTTCAGGATGGGTGACAGGAGGAAATCCCCCCTTTAATTCAACGCCCCATGCAGTCTATTAAAGAACTGATGAGTTTATACAACAATTAGAGTCTTTAAACCAAGGCAAATGGTAAAGACTTTGATTTATAGTTCATATTAAAGTCAATAAACTTGTATGAAAGTGTAGTAGAGGCCATCGAGGAGTACATTAAGGCAGGGGTGGAACTGCAAATGTAATCATAGGATATACAGTGTGGCTTTATAAACACACAGCTGCTCCTTAACAGAGTGCCAGACAGTCCGTCAGTCATCCTCACCCCCTCACGCTGTGAACGTGTAGTGAGCGTATCCTTCCATGGGCCCGGCTGTTTAAATTAATTATTAGTTTTATAGCGAACCCTGAGGCCTTGCACAGGCAGCTAATCCCTGCAGAGGGCTAATCCGACCCCGCGTTACAGAAAATCAATGCCGGTCTTTGGTGTTGGCATGCCATCAGGGCACAGGGACACATGTCAGACAGGCCTCCTGATTTTTTCATGAGGTGTGTTTTTGAAGTGGTAGATCCAGTGGAGGATGCTCGAGGTACCCAGAATTGAAAAGAATATCCGGAAGCGAGAAAAGGCTTGTATGACCAAATTTCTCTGGGGGTGTTGGGTGATGCAAGTGTGTGGTTTTTGTGCATTATTTTAACTGGAAATGGATGAGCTCTTGGAGGAAACTCAGTCTTTCAACAACGTGTAAATCCAGGATGAATTAGTGCATAAAGAAAGAATAAATTGTCAGATTCCTAATGAACTATAAAGTAGATTTGATCAAAAAAGGAGCGTGTATGTCTGTGTTTGTCTTTTTTCCCTCTGGATGTTAGATAGTCCGTTATATTAGAAGCACCAATGACCTTCTAGCAACCTCCGTGTTGATGGATGTGTGTGGTAGATGAGTGTCCCGCAGTCATCAAGGATTTGAAGGGATTTTGTCTGCAGTGACTGTCTGCAGATCGAGCACTTTGAGTTATGTCATGGCCACAGTTTTCACCGAGTATCTCTGCCAGTTGAGTCCTGCAGCAAACATCAGGCTTGGCTTTTTTTTTTTTTTTTTTTTTGCCTGATAATGAAGAAAGATAATGGTGAAAGGAAGGGATCGGAACAGCCATTTAGAAAACGTCAATTTGCGTCTTTTTAGTAATAAATCTTGCTTGTATGAGCCAAGATGAGAACATCCTATTTTCCCTTGGCACTGAGGCAGACAGTCTGTGTTTTGAGATCACTTTAATATCTTGTCAGATTTGATACACTGTCAAAAATTGAGACCAGCATTCATTTTCTTTTACTTTGTCAGGGTTTAATACCATTCAGAGGAAATATGAATATTTCTCATTCCTCAGTCTCATTTCATATTCCCAACTGTCTGTCAGTAATTGGAGGAGAAAGAGGAAGAGGGCGAGAGAGAGAAAGAGAGAGAGAGAGAGAGATGATCTGACCCAGTCCCCTACTTCTTTTTTACACCTCTCATTCTGCCTATTAGTTTTGGATTACCAGCTTTCTCTCTCTTTCTCCAAGACTGGCAGCTGAGGATAATAGCTTTCATAATGTGTGGCGTTTCATTCCCGGCTCCTCTGTGTTCCTCTTTATGAGCGAACAAAAAATGTCGAGCCCAGTCAGTCTGTTCGTTTCCTCTGTTGGTGAGATTAATGAGAAGAACAGTGCTGTCTCAAGCCTTTTGTGACAGCCTTCAAAGTCCACCCCCCCCCTCCTCTCATCCAGTACAGGAGGACTTGTGTCTGTTCGTCTGCAGGGTTCACACAGGCGGGAAGCCGTTTACACTGTGACGGTTAATTAGGAGTCTAGGACATGATCAAAACTATATGCTGCAATTAACCCATCATTTGTTGCTCATTTTGTTCGACGCCGACAAAGTGATCACATATGATACGGTAAAACAAGTCTTTACCAGGCTGCTCACGGTCTCAGAAAGTGATTGAAGTGTTTGAACCAACCAGCCTCAACGCAGACTGTTGTTTGATATAAGTCTGATGTCCTGAAATGTGTCCTCTGTTAAACTTCTGTGAATCAAGTTGGAAATGAAATAAGGAAATGACGCGGACTGTAACATCTTGTGGCTTGTCATAAGACCATAGAATGAGCGTTTTTCTTCTCCTTTCTTATATTTAGCACAAAGATTCATTCAATGTTCAAAGAATTCCTCTGGTCTATCACTCAGTCATTGGACACCCTATCAATTCATCTAACCCCTTTCAATACTGCTCATTACTTTGATAATTCACTTTGACAAATGGATCTATTCATACAAAGAGCAGAGATACTGTCACATGAAGATTTAGCTGTGCTATTAAACCAGGGCACATCAGGAATGCAGGAAACTGATGGAAATGTTGAGATTACACCGGCTTCTTTGTTTACTGATTAATTCCGTATTGCACTTGTTAAGTCTTAATAGTGATTGCACATGAGATCTATAAAGCTGTGTTCTGGAGAGAAACAGATATGAATAATGCAGCATTGGAATAACTGTGAAAATATATGTATAATGAAGCCCATAACCATAAATCTAACCACAAATGAAGTCTCTGAATCAAACTGATTTCTTTGTTTGGCATTCATTCATCTCCAGCAGCAGCAGCCTTTCTCCATACCCAGCATTTGTACAAACCTGGTGTGTAATTTCTCTATACCATGTGAGTGACAGCAAGAACAGTCAAGCAATTGACACCATGACACTTTGAGTATTTTCTCACTGAACAAAAAGACATGCAGTATTTGCACAGGTTCTCTTATGGGTTACGCTAAGTGAAAAAAAACTCAATATTGACCTCAGATAGATGTCTCTATTGTGATTAAAAAAAGTGAGAAAAGAGTTTTTGTGAAAATCAAGATACAAGCTGGTTAGTCTGGTCCCTGTAAATGTATAACTAATCGCTCTATTATAATTTTAAAGCTACAGTGAGGAATTCTCAGCTGGTTATAAAACAGACTGACATCAATATTAGTGCTTTACTGTGACCTTCACAAGCCAACAAGACCATCTGTGACAAGTTTGATTATTTATGTATCATGTCAAAAGCGACAGTAGAGAGATAAATTAGCTCTAAGCTGTCAAATCAACCTTTTTATGTACATTTTCTATCACCAAGACTTCTGATAAGTATTGAAAAGTATTTCTTTCTCATTTCCATTTCATTTCCTTGAAGTAATAATCATCATAATAATCATTTTGCACTACAGATGCGGTACTTCTTCTGCCTTCGTGTCTCGGTCTGATTACATTTCCATGAAGAAATGATCATAAATGTTCTTCCTTGAGCTGTGTCACCACGCTGCACTCTTCGATAGATTCGTCTAAGTTCTCCCTACAAACAAGCGGCTGCTGGAAGAGAGTAGCTGAGGTGCGTTTAGTCTCTTTGCTAAAGAAATAAGGCAAAACTAAAAAGATATTTGGTGGCTAGTGCTATGGCTAGGACCCTATATATACCATTATTTGTTAGGTGCTGTTCTGAGCATTATTTGTGGCAATAGAGTGGCATTTTGGTTGAGGTGTGTGGGTGGCTCCTCAGACCACTGTGTATTGCTATCATGCTGTCGTTACTAAAGTTGGTATAACTAGAGAAGCAAGCGGTCGGCAACATTCATCTCTCAAGGGGGTGTCTAACTTGGTGGACGGTGTGTTTGACCCTATCTTAATTTTACGCCGGAATATCCCTTTAAATGCTTTGGTACTTTGTTAAAAACTTTTTACAAGTTCAGAACAAACCAGCTAATAGAAAGTAGTTCCCCTTGGTCATGGGGTGCACCACAACCAAGATAAATGAAGTTCCCTACAGGAGCTTTAACGTAAAGGCTATCTGATAACTTTAAAAAAAAAGTTACTATTGAACTGATCAACAATCCTTATAATATGAATTGCCAGAGTTGCTGTAATGGACATTCTACTCCTCAATGAAGACCTTTTTCACAGAACATCTTTAGTGTGACATTTTCTTGCTAAAAGGGAAACTTGTAATCCAATCCAACTATGCCACGAGTTACTGAACAGGTATACTTTTACAGCCTATAAGTGTGAACACTTCCCTCCCTTTTCACTTTTAAATTCCTTACTAACTTTCCGATTTACTTTGGTTTTAAAGTGACATTTCCTGTTCTGCTACAGGTCAGTAAATCCTTCAATTCTCTACTTAAGAAATGCCTTTCAGAAATAGTCTATTAATTTAGATATTAATGCATATCTGTGAAAGCTGCTGATGGCCAGAAATGTTACCTGCTGCTCTCAACATTTTCTTTTAATTTGGCAGCTGACAGGTGCTGATTAAATTCCCTGGTTCTATTCATTTTCATAATTCTCACTAAAATCCCAAAAGAGAACTCAATTTTTCAGGGGCAGAGCAGAAAAAAAGCTTGTTTAAGCATACATTTTTTATAACTACACAAACTTTGGGGAAAAAGTAAAAGAAGAATTTCTATAAAACTTTTGCTCTACACCAGCAGAAGAGCGGTATATTTCTTTTACACGGCTTTGATTAAAGGTTTTGAGAGAGAGGAGACATTTCTTTTGCTTTATGGCTCTCTTTGCCAGCTTGGCAGCTGCACTAGCATTTAAATGCCCATTAACAACCTTTTAACTGTCAAGATCTTTTGAAATACGGATGTTTGCTTTCCTCACTGCTTCAGAGCCACCAAAATTACTTTTAATAGCGCCAGTGTTGGTATTAATACGCTCCTTCATGAGCTGCAGCCGAGCCGCGTGTCATTCCAGTGCAAAGGAGTTTGCCAATGATGTCTGATTAGGAGTGCAAGGGGAGATTAATAGATGTTTCTTCCCCTCATTTGTTATCACTCTTTTAGTGCACTGACTGACTACAGTGTGTGATAAATAGAGGGAAGCCTCTGCATTTCCTGAGTGTGACACTATCTATCTACTCGTCAGCCCGGCTCTGTGTTGATGCGATGTCTCCTCTGACAGCAAATCCAAAGTCAGCTGCCTGGTCCTGTGCAATTTCAGCGAGCAGAAGGGAAGGTGTTTGGGATCTGCATTTTAATCCCGGCCTGTTTAATGTTTGCCCCCTGACAATCTGGGCCAGACATCATTTTAATGGTATGTACAGTGATAAAGCCAATAAACTGTCAGGATGATTGATAATCTGAGCATTATAGCAATATGACTTTCCAGTTCTCCTCTGCGCTCCAATGATGGTTTCCAAATTGAATTCTTTGTGTGCGTGCGTGTGCATGCATGCGTGCACACTCACATGGCATGCATGTGTGCGTCTGAGCTGAACCTTAGGTGAGAAGAAAACAGAAGAAATCGTGTTAGTTTCGAGTGAATCAGTTTTTAGTGCTTATGCAATACATTACTTCTAAAATAACAAACCATATCGGCTGAATAGATTATCTCAGAGTTTTTGGCCCGCTCGCTGTGTTTGTCTGGAAAAATGGATTGGAGGGGGAACAATTATAAAGAAGATTACCATATTTCTACCGTTAAATAAATGATATGAAATCTAGCTTTCCTCTGGGTGTCAGAAACTGTGAATGTATTAGCTAGGCCTCTGAGACCGGTGTGTGTTTCATATCAATGCTGGCTTATTTTAGGCAAGAGGGGTTGATGGGAGGCGGGGGAGAGGATGCCGTTCACATCTCTTGACTCATGAACTCGTCCAAACACAGGTGGACATTGACATGCCGCAGATGCTGCTGAAGCCATCAGATGCTACAGTTGCTTTTTGTCATTAGGCCGTAGTCTGGATGCTTATAAATATGACAATCTGTCAGTTTGGAATTTGCTGGTAACGTTATGACAGTCATTTCCCCACTGGCGCTATTTCCATCCATTTAAACATTAACCTGTCTGTTCATTCAGGGCTGTTCTTCAAAGCTCCAGGGTCACCTCCAGTCTTATGGATGAGATCAAATAGCTCTGTTTCATTGATTTATTGCTTGCTATTTGCAAACCAATAGCAATTTGGTTGGAGATTGACAACACATGTAGGCCTGTAGTGCAGTCAGTGTCTCAGCGGACCTATGAAACAGCTCCTTTTATCTGCAGCAAAGTCAGAGCAGTCCTGCCGCTGACTGGCAGTCATAGAAAGCTCTTTGTTTTATGTAAATGGTGATTGATGACATGTCTGGCACAGCCTGCAGTTTTTGACAAAAAGTATTGATGGCTGCTCTCAGTAAAGTGTTAGTCCAGGTGACAGAGCAATCCATTTTAAGATGAATGAGAGAGAGCGCGGGAGCGAGAGGCAGAGAGAGGGAAAGAGTGAAACAGGAAAGTCATCAGCACTTTCAGGAGCAGGTTACACATTTATAACTCTTGTTCCATGTTCACAGTGGAATACAAACACGCTGCTGTTTAGATCATGTGACAATTAAGGGAACGCTTAAAGCCCTAAACATTGTTAGAGCGTTGTACTGAGGACATAATGTGAATCATTCTTTGCTTAATTCTGTCTATTGTTTCCTGAGGAGGTGATCTTTTATGCTGTCTCATTATGGGACTGTGAAAGGTTAAGTTAATTTATCAACATGTATGTAACTGAACAAAACAAACAGGCTGGCTATCGAATGCCCTAGTGGCTGTCCTTGGTACTGCAAAAACAACTAGAGTTTTAGTATGTGGTACATATACTTCATGATCGGCTATTTGAGACTCACATTGTGTGAAAGCCTGCAGCACTTGTTTTTGCCTTTAACTACTTGGAGTCACATTACACAGATAGTTTCAAAACAAACCTGTTGCTGCTTAGCTCAACTCTCATGACTTCTAGTGTGATATCTCCATCTCATCTCTTCTTTTTAGAGATGATGTAGAGATCTTCTTTACATTTAAAAGATCAGTGAAGAGTTGACTGTAAAGATAGTCAACAGTTGCAGCTCTTGTGGAGAGCAAAAGCAAGTGGAAAACAACCCACTGCAAGCCAATCAGCATCTAGATATCTTGATTACTTTGAATGCATCAGAAATCATCAGTGCAACATCCAGTCAACAAATAAATGATGTGTTGAGTTCATTTTCTGTTTCAGGTTACGGTCCTAATACTTCTGAATAAAAGAAAGCTTTTGGGTTAAGTCCCAGCAGTCGTAGTCTCAGTCCAACTCGTCTCCAGGGGGGATTTCACTGGACCATCTCACACAGGGTTCATGACATTAACACAGCACATTTACATACAAACCCAGTGGAAACTCATTGAGGGAGTCGCAAAAAGGAGAATCATGAAGGAGAAGAGTGAGATAGTGAATAAAAATAACTGCAGCATTTGAGGTAATTTTCATATTCAAATGTGTGAACCACTTTGATCTGTCTCAACAGAATTTATTATTAGGAAGTCTCAAGAAAGGGTCAAACATTTCCTTCACAATTCACATTTTTTTTGGTGGTTTCTTGACCATTAACCTTTTGGTTAATGTTCACATCCACAAACACAAACTCATTGCAAGTGAAACGCAAGAAAACAGGTATTAACTACCTAACTACCGATGATGGACATCTAACGGTGGTTGCCAATTGGTACCAGTACAGCTGACCAGCTCATTAGAATATATCTGTTTGAATCTTTACTGTTATGGTTGCATCTGCATTAAAGACCTGAGTGAGAATGTTTGGCTTACCCTAAACTTTCAGTATATTTATATTCCTGCAAAATGTAATACTGTAACTGGCTTTGAGGTTTTCAGAAATAATAACAGATCAATTTGGTTGAATCTGCTCAAAGCTGAATCAACACTTGTTTCTCGTTCTGCTTTGCAATTCCTACACTGATGCTGTTATGCTGTTAGCTAAAATAGCCTGCTGAAAACATACTCCATGTATGTAGTTATGAAAAAGCTCTCATGTCCTGTCAGAGTATACCTGTCCATCAGATTAGGCTCATTTAGTGCCTGTGGGAGTCCGAGCGGGGATTTGTTTGAGTTGGATAATGGGTCCATGATCCGCAGGGGAAACCCACTCCCCTGTACTCTATCTCCTCTCTGACTTCGGGATGATGAATGTGAATTTACATTTGCTCTATATGCTTTTACACTCCACAGCAGTGTGATTTCCCTAATGGAGCCACTACTAGAGTGAAGTTTACTTTTGGATCTGTGTTTGTAGGAATGTTCAGAGGACGAGCCAGCGAGGAGCTGCAGCTAAAAAAAACATAATCCTGCAAATGTGAAGAAAAACGAAACCCAAAAGTTGTCTAAAAATGAACCTGGTGCTGATGCTTGTCAGACAGAACCAGATTTAAGAGATGCTTCAAGGGGACCTTAACCCATGAAATCACGCTGTCCTGCATCCAGAGCCCCACCCTCTAACTGCTGTATAAATAGATTCTCGTGACAGGGTAATTCATCTCTGGCCATGAAAACATCAGCTTTAAAAGACAGCTCGCTGAGACCCCGCGCTTGTTAGGGGCCAGATCAGCAGCCCAGATGCCTGGGATGTAAACTCATGAAGAGAAGATTAATTTATCTGTCATCCCTGACTTTGACAGTTGTTGTAAATTTGACTCTGGCCTCAGCACACGGAAGGGAAGAAGAAGGAGGGGCCGGGTGGGGGGAGAAAGGAGAGACGAGTAAAAGATATAGAGAGAGGAGTGTGAAGAGGGAGAACGGCTTTAACGAGGGAGGGGTGAGGTAGGGGTGAGTGTGTGTGTCAAAAATTTCAAACATACATTATTGACAAGAGGACTCACTTACTCACTGCCGGTGTGCACCTGGACTCCATCTACAGCCCTCCTCTACAGATGATGTGTTCGGAAACCTACTTGGCTGTGATTTTAGCTTACCTCTCAGGCCCCCTTCTTCCTAAAAAGAAAAAAAAAACAACAACCATAACATCCTTTATCCGCACAAGTTTTTTCTCAACTTCTCATTTCAAGATGGTGGCCACATAAGGCACGCTGGAAAATGAGTAGTGGTGGTGTCAGGGAAGCCATTTGGGGTCTGATTGATGGTAGCAGGCGAAACCACAGCGGCCATGTTCTGTGATCTCCGATGTGCAAGCCGTGCCTGGCGTTCTCTGAGAAATAAGAGACGTTTTTTTTTTTTTGAGTTAATGCTACTGCCAGACGTATTGCGTTAGATTTCCCTTCATATCTGTGTCAGAGTTTCAGAAAATAGATGATGAATTAGGATGTGTGGAATGGTTATCATTTAAGAAGGAGATGAGCTGGCTTGGAAGAAAAATGGAGAGCTATTATCAACCTTAGTTACTCAGGCTCAGATGCCTGTAGATAAAGGTTGATAATAGCTAAGCTGATAAAGACCAACATTGATACGCTGCAATTTAATACAAAAAGATACGATACGATACAATACGATATGACGCAATACGATATGAAATGATATTATACAATATAATACAATATGATATGATGCAAAATGATACGATACAATATGACACAATATGATACGATATGATTAAATATGATACGATGCAGTATGATGTGACGAAATACGATATGATACAATATTATACAATATAATACAAGATGATATGATGCAAAATGATATGATACAAAACAATACAATATGATGCAATACTATATGATATGAAACGATATGATACCATATGATATGATGCAATATGATACGATACAATATGATATGAGGCAATATAATTAAATATGATATGATGTAATGCAATATGATACGATTTGATACGACATGATACAAAATAATATGATGAAATAGGATAAGATATGGTGCAATATGATATGATACGATATTATCCAATATGATACGATACGATATGATTCAATACAATATGATGTAATGCAATATGGTACAATATGATGTGATATGATGCAATATGATACAATATGATGTGATACAATATGATACAACACATTATGATATGATAGGAAATGATACAATATGATAAAACAATATGATGCAAAATAATATGATACAATATGATCTAATATGATAGGATACGATATGATACAATATCATACAATATGATATGACAAGCTATGATATGAAACAGTATTATAGGATACAATATGATGCTCTTTTCTTGTTTTACTCACTCAGAACTTTTTTTTGTCAAAAAGTGATTCTTAAGCTCAAAGTCCACAACTTGGGAAGGTCAAACAGAGACATAAGGACCACACAAAACAAAGAAATACCTGACAAACTTAAGTCTCTATGAAACACGCATGCTAACTCTCACCTTTTAGGTAGTTTGTGTGAAAGATGAACATTTGTCCTAGCTAACAAAGATATCTTGGCCTCTCTCAGTATCAGTACTTTTGTAAAGTCCTGTGAGCAAGGAATTTATTTTCCAAGCAGCAAAAATCAAAGCCAGTTAGATAATAAAAGTAAAAGTAACACTGAAAGACAGAGCTCACTGTGTTAGTTTAGGCTGAAGAACAATGCTGCTGTTAATATCATAATAATGAAAGGTCACTGCCTGAGTCTGAAGAGTTTGCAGACACTAAGCAGAGTGTGCAGAAAATAAAAGCAAACCCAGCCAAGTAGATCACAGCTTGAAGTCTGGTCCACCAACCAGTTCAAAAGACCCTTTAACTTATTTAATTTAATATTTTGGCAACCTTAGATTAACAAACGTCTTTTTTTGTGAGTCTTAAACTTTTGGGTCTAAAGAGTATCAGACTTGGGATACAGCCATACATACAATACTGATGCTGTCACTGAGGAGCCTCTCTGGCGCTGTGGTTGGCGTAGGAATCATAACTCTCCCATTGGCTCCTTTTGACCCCTTTCTCTTTCTGTAGGCCCGCTGTAAATGTCAGCCCATTTGTGCCAATACTTCCACGCCAGAAGTAATTTAGATTTTTCTATTATGCACGTGGATATGCATATTTTGGTTTTCCCAAATCTCCTGTGAAGCAGATACTAAAAGATAATAGAAAGTTGAGAAAGTAGTATAAGTCTGTTTTATTAAATGTATGAGCTGTAAGGGAAACCGCAGTTATACACCACAGTAAAACCAAAAAACATGCAGTAAAGCAGAAACTGTATTTCTATGACCCATCTTTTAACAAAGCGAACATTTCCAATGCGTTTCCTCTGAGCCTTCACCTTTAAATAGTCCAGCTCTTGATTGGATTTGCTGTGCATCTGATCACTTCATACACGGCGTCGCTAGCATTAAAGCAAATCAGTGAAATTTGTATAAGTTATCAACACCTCCTTCTATGTCTGATTGGACCTAGGGGAAGTGACAAATATAGCCCAGGAGATCTCCAGCTTTTATTGTGGATTAGCATGCTAATAGGCTTTCGACTCGATTTGACAGACCCAGCTTCCCCCTGGAGAGGGACAGCCTCGAGCCAGGGAGAGGGGGTCTGTGTGGGGCTAAGCAGGGGGAAAAAGAGGGGGCGAGAAAAGGGAAAGCGGGTTAAGATAGGGGTGTACTGCAGGGTGAAAGTGAGGGGTGGGGGGGTGTTTGGAGGAGTGTGGAAGATATTACCAATTAGCATGTGGGGGGAAAAAGGTTCTGACAGGAGAGGTAACCCAGTCATGATAAATATGGTGACTTAACAGACTCTCCTCCTTCTCTTTTGTCTGTCAAGCCCCACAGCTGTGGACTTAAGAACTCCTTTCACCTTAGAGGAAATCAAAAGATAATCCCGAGTTTGATGTTTGGAGTAACTTTTGAGTCAGAGGGGAAAAGGGGTCACCGGTGTATAGGGTGATGGGTTTAAGCTGTAAACCCTTGACAAAAGGTTGTGACTGAGTGAGTTCCTCCAGATCTCTCCCAGTGTGTTTGGAAAGTTCTGAGCACCTTCTCTGTGCGTGACTAAACCCACCTAAGAATAGAGAGATAAGGCTCTAAAGCAAAAGTTTAATTTGCCTATGAAAACAATTATTTGGTATCAATCAAAGAGGGAGAATAGAATCTTCTAACCTGTTGTGTGTTTGTCCCTGTGATGATTTTAACAGCTTCCTCAGTTTGAGGGACACGTCTTTTATAGTTTTGTCAGTCTGGAGGATTGTTGGTATTTTTTGGAATTCGGCATCTTATTCTGAAAGGAGGTTGAAATTGAATGAAGATTTGTCTGCACATGCAGTTCAAACACTTGACTCAGCTAATTTTCTTCTTGTGCGTAGAGAGTTGTTTTGAGACTAAAGTGGGAGACTTTAAAGTGGGGCATCACTTTGCACTGGGGTGCAAAATAGGAAAAAATATATGTATAGCACACTTTCTGCCCCCAAATGAAATAAGTACACTTTTTCAATGACAGCTAATCTATTCGGGTTGGGGGAAAAATTTGATTCACATAAGTATCGCAATATTTTGTTTTACAATTTTAAATCGATTTTTTTTTTTTAATTTGAGAAAAAATCTTAAAAAACTGACTTAGATGTGATATGCATTTTTTGGGGAGATATGGTTCCTGGAATAGTCAGTAGACAATCATTATCATTCAGCTGTTTTACTGGTGTTAAAAATGCAGACTAAAAAATTTTGAAAATCGTCAATATCGTAGAATCGCAATTTAAATCGAATCGGCATCAAAAAAATCGTAGAAGAATTGAATCGGGAGAAAAGCACATCGTCCCAGCCCGATAATCTATGCATCAAATTAAGGAAAATAAGAATTTTTCAAGTGTATTTCACGATATTTTTTGAAACATTATTAGCCAGGTGGTGTACCATGATTGCATCAGTTTTCTCTATCCGTCATTGAAAATTAGAGAGATATGGTGTTTTGGTTGTGCAACATTGCTGATACCGATGTCTGAAGTGATGCTGGACTCAGATTTTAGCTGGCTGTTCCTGATGTTAAACTATTGTTTCTCCTGATTGCTCCTTGGTGTTTTCAGCTTTCCACTCTCAATCACACGTTTAGGGAGTTACTATCCGTTAAAGAAATGCTTGATTTGATATGCAACAGATCTTTTTATTGGCAGGGTACAGATTTTAAACTTATGTATTTAAGCAGAGGCCAAAAGTGTGATTATTGCCTTTAAAAATGACCTAAACAAGAACTTTGTTACAAACTTCAGTGATCAATTTCCTATTAATAAGTCATTGATGAGGGACTCTAGTCAAGCAGAGCTGGTAGAACATACAGTCCACCCTATATACACAGGCTGCACTCCTTGACACATTGGCCCCAGGTTCAACTCCCTCCCTGAGCTCTTGATGTGTGTCCATTCCCCTCACTCCTGTCTGTATATCTCCATTTAGCTGTCGTTATGCGCAAAATGGTCAAAATAGATTATCATAAAGAGACAAATATATTATAGTATGGTTATAGTATGGTGCCTGTGACATCGAACTCTAACTGTAGTCAAAGAGGAACCAGCTTTTTTATATGTTCCAGGATACAGATGCAAAAGTCATCAGCCCAATTTCATCAAAGAAAAGCAAATAAAAAAAACTGGACTAGCTCTCGATACCCCTGCGTTCCAAGGACAAAGCTGCAGTCTATTATCTGTCTGTGTGAGAAGATAATACCTGAGCTGATGATGCCTGCTGACCTTGAGCAGCTTAGATGACAATAACCTCGCTATCATCCCTTGAACCCCAGCTGGGCGCACGCGTGTACACTTCCACACCCACTTATAAACACACAAACACACACACACGCACACACACATGTGCCATATTTTACTCCCATAAACCCGTACAGCTGATGATGACCTTTCCTCTCTTCCCTGACAGTCTCATGCAACTGGCGACTGCAGTATTACTTTAGAGCACATTTGCTTACCATAAGAATGTAATTTTCAGCGATAAGGTCCTGGAACTTGGCAGAAGCTGTGTGGGGGGGTCTGTCGTTTTGTGCCAGATCTTCAGTCGTGGATGATCCAGGGGCTCGCCCTGGGGGACAGCTCAGGGCTGAGTGGGCCAAAGTAATGTCATCCTGTGGAAAAATGATTAATCTCCCCGCTGCCTGTCCTTTATTCCACGAGGAAGGAAGGATGCACAACAAAATGTAACAAATAAGTGGCTCATTGGTGCGTATGTAAATTTCATTATATCACATTAGGCTGTTGCTAAATTGCCTCATCATTATGATTTAGGGTTAATTTAAAACTGCAACAAGGGGGATAAACATATGATAAATATTTAAATTTGTACAATTGGGTTGCAGTGATTTTTTTCAGTGGTCAGAGAATGGTTACCATGGAAAGGTTCAGCTGGGCACAGGGGATCTCTGCACCCTCTGAGGGGGACGTGTGCAGTGCACATAAAGTACCCAGGGTGAAAATCAGAGCCGAGAGCCTCACCATAAATACTCGGGTCAGAGCTGTCAGCCAGAACACTTCTCTCCATGGTCTGCCTTCTCTTTTTAGTTTTAATCCACTCATCATGGAGTGAGTGAGACAGAGAAACAGATACAGGCCGAGACAGCGCGGTGTAGTACAGTTACAGATTGGAAAGAGCGGGGAAAGTAGGAGAAAAACATACTGTGAAGAGTGTGTGAATCCATAATAGCACCACTTAATGACACAAACTATCTCCCCTTGCTGTCGGAGAGAGGCTAGGCTTCCTCGGAGCCTCAGAGGGCCCTCTGTTACAAAACAGAAGACAGTAGGGCTTTGACAGCTCCAAGTGTCTAGGGCCAGGGAAATAATTGATAGCAGGCTGCCTGCATCCAAGGTCCTTTAGCAGTAATTGCAAGCAGAATCTGACTCTCTGATCTCACCAGTGGTATTGGCTATGCCAGAACAGCCTGGCTTTGACAGATTGCCTTCCTGCAGTAATAACTTAGGCATGTTCCCTGTTTTCTCACACAAGGCCGTGCAGCGCTGTCTCCACCGCAGAACCAGCCCAGAATCATCAGTGATTATTTTATATGTGTATATTTCTTTTAGCTCTTGGCAGATTTTTCTGACAGGACACTCTTCAAGTAATGGTTTTGCCTGCAGCCAATTGCCCTGTACATTGTTTTTCACTGTGATCCGTTTTTTTTCTCTTTCTTGGACTACAATGAAACTCTTAAGTATTGTCCGCGTGTTAACATACATTTGTAAGCATAAAAGGGGGTTGTGTGACAAAAAAGTATGTGTAACGGAGTTCTTTTATTTCTAATTGCCTCATTAAATCAGACTCTCATTACCTAAAAAGGACAGTAATAACTGTGACCAATCAACTGTGCTCCAACAATCTTTTAGATACAAAAAAAAGAATATCCAAACACCGTTGCCATGGTTCCCGCCCTGAATGACAGCCTGAAGGCTTTATGGCCTTTTGAAGGATAGTCCTCTTTCCCCCCCTTTTCCTCCTCCTCCCCTCACCTCCTTGTCTCCTCCCTCCCCCCCTTTTCCTCACACTCTCAGTGGCACTCTTCCATGCTCACTGTCTGCACTGTAAAGCACTCAGGGATTTATTGTCAGCTGGAGTTTCCTTGATGGGGTGTAATAATACTGTGCCTTTCTCACCCGCTAAGGTGGTAGAATCCCCTCCCTCTGCCGATGAGAGGACCCCCGCGGGCTGCCCTGTTTGCGCCTGTGTTCTGTGGCAGACTTATAAGCCTGGCAGCTCCACCCCATGGCTGTCCAAACAAGGTTTCTCAACGGGCGCCCAAATCAAAAAGAGCAGCGTACGGGGGCAGCAGGAAAGTGAAACGGCAGGATGTTGCCTTTAGTTATTTATTTATCTCGCTCCTCAGCAACAGAAGAAAAGAGTTAAAAGCCCGTGTGCTCCTTTTGGTGTTTATTGTTTTGTTTTGTTCAATGTTTTGGCAGTAAAACGCCGAATTCTTGCTACTGCTAATTACAGTTGAGTAGTTTTGTGTTCACGTTCCTGGAAATCATTTTAAGTAGGACTTAACTGATTTCTGAATGAAACTCATTAAAGGAATTGAAGTGTAAATAGACACAATCCCCTCGGCACCCTGCTGTAAGAACTGTGATGCTGTGGTTTGTACTTCACTGCCAATGTCTTCCAGTTAATCTAATTTAATCTGTAAATGGAGGCTTAAATCAATGCAAATAAACATCAGTAAATCAGGAAAGATATCAAAGGCGGTATGAAGCAGGTTTAGCTCCCCAAATGCCTCAAACGTACTCACGGCTCAGCAGGCGAGCTGTAGGCAGCAGCTGGATCGTATAAATAGAAACTCCCTTCACAAACCTGAAATTAATAAAAGATCCTTTGAGTGATCCTTGAACATGGGAGGATATGAGCAGACAGTCAGCGAGGTCAGAGTGGGATAAACTGGTCTCAGCTCCCTGCCTTTCTGTGAGAGCTCGGTGGCAAGATAGACGGGCGCGTCATGCTGCTTTGAAACGTCTAAACATAGACATTTTAGAGGTGGACGCTATGTGAAAATGTAAATAAACTTTATAGGAACCCGGGGTCAGGCCGAGGTTGGATTTATGGTTTTGGCATTCACCCCCAAGCTCATCCGTCATCCCTTTTTTTTTTTTTTTTTGCCCTACCAAGCCCCTTCCAGTCCCAACACCTCCTACTCCAGCCAAGTCCCTCCCCCCAAACCCCCACTCCTACCACTACACACCAGATCACAAGACCTTCAGCTGAACTACAGCCGACCTGCTGGATCCAAGGCCAGCTGGGCTTCAGATGCCATAATAAGAACCATTCAGGGTCTTTAATGATTGTGTGACTATTGGCCGGATGTGTTTTTATCTCTACGGTTATCTTTATTATCAATCTTTTGCTCTTAATTTCTCCGCCGCTCTTTTCTCTGCCTTCCCTAAACAGTTTCTCTCCCCTCTCAGATGTTTGGGGCTGCTGAGGGAAGGGAATTTGTGCCAGAATTATTTGGGAGGTCTTGAGGGACATGTCGAGTTTAGGCTGTCTTCCCGCTGGAGCGTTGTCACACCACAGTCTGTGTTCACTTATTTATGGCTGTGCTGCTTGTCATGCCATTGTTTGACAAAATTATCAAGACATAACAGGACGCTTGTCATCAACTGTGATCTCACAATGAAAACATCTGACTATTACTCTACTGCTATTGTGATTAGGGCAATGAAATCCACAAGCACTTAAATGCTTTTGTTTAGCTATCAGATTTTAAATGTAACACTACTCTTTTAAAGTCAAAACATGCCAAAAAATCTCGACTCGAAAAAGTGAGGAAAATCTTAACACTTGGAAAGTGAGACGTAGATCCTGTTAATTTTTTCTGCACGCTTTGCAAACATGATTTGCATTTTGCATGATAAATGTTCAGAGTTATCCACTTGTAGACATTTAATGTAGGCGCTAAATGTTCATTTTATAATGCACATGATTTGAATTTTAAGTTCTGCACTCATAGTTGAGAATAACTTCATTTTGTGATGTTACATATCTGAAATTTAAAAAGAAATGAAGTTATCGAATGAAAGCAAACACTGATTATTTGTCTTGTTGAAGTTTAATGAGGGATAAACAGCAATCCCATCCAGCTTTACACATTACCCTTCATTCAACAAGACTTACCAGAAACAAATCCTCTGATGATTTACAGCAGCGGCTCCTGTTATGCCAGGCGAACAATCCTGCGGTACGTTTTTCACTAGCAGAGTTTGTGCTCTTGTCCCAGCGTCAGAATACGAGAGGACACCTGCCTAAAATGACTGAGGCTCAGCTGGGAACCGCTTTGATCTGTGTGACAGTTTGACTGCCTCGATGGGAGTGGCACTGATAATCCCTTTGCTTAACTCGTGCTTTTTGGCCCAGCCGGGGTCCTGTCCAGGGATAAAGCAGTGGGCTAAGTCTTAATCAAACAGCAGGGTCGGTGGCTGCATGAAGGGAAGGGTCTTTGAGGGTTAGAGTGCGGAAGGGCACATTTAGGACAGGGATGAATACACACAAATGGAGGATTAGAGTGTTTTGCCTACTTGCAAATAGGTGAGCTTTAGCAGGCAGTTGGAGAAGAGTTGAAAGAAAAAGTCATTGAGTCTAGAAAAGCTGGGTGTTGTTCTCTCTCAAACAGACCGGAGCTCTCAAAGCCTCTTTAAAAACAACTCCGCATGTGCCTCAAATGCTGCAATGAAACCAGGATGTTAGTGAAAAAGTCCAAAACAGAAGTGAAGTTCTTTTGGGGGTATACAGACTAGTAACTTGACAGGTAGAGCAACAAAAACAGCATGGCAGGGGTGAAGGAGGGGTGGGACTATAATATCATTTTGACTCATGTGGTACAGTTTTAGCAACAGGTCCAAAATATCAATGTCTAGATTTAAAACTCGTAAGGCCGCCTTTCAGTGATCCTCATAACATTAATCTTGTTTATGTTAATGTTTCATTATAATTGTGTCGCAGTTTATCAGTTATAATCCTTGTATCGACATAGTGATATCATTGGGCATATGCGGAATATCGAACCAGTCCATACTGTACCATTCCAGTTCATCGTGTGCCTGTTAAGTGCCATTTGGATCAGTGCATTATATTGTATCGCATCGTATCATTTTATATAGTATCTTTTTAAATCTTATTGCATTTTGTGTCTATTGATAGACTGTATCATACTGTATTGGACAGGACCTCAAGGCAAGGCTAGCTTTTTAATACAGAAACTTTTGGCAGAAGTACCAAACCATATCATTTTGTGTGGTTGATAGTTACTTATTCCCTTATTTTTTAAGTCAAGTTTTGTTCTGTTTGAAACTGTTTTATTCCACATTGTTTCACTTCATTTCCATTCGCGTCCATCACATCTAATGATACCTGATCATAACATACATATGAAATATATTCTATTGCGTCAGATTTTATCATATAGTATTGTAACATGACATATCTTATTGTATGCCATTGAACTGCACCATGTTGCATCATACCAAATTGCATGATATTACATTTTATATCGTATCATATCATATCGTAACCTATTCATCCATCTGCACTCTGGTTGTTTGACATGAAAGCAAAGAAGATGAATATGAATATGTGGAAGTAGTAATAAGGTAGAATCAAATAACGTAGATGAGAAATTATATAAGAATAAAAAATTCAAAACTCATCAGTAATCACTATACAGGATTCTTTATTCATCTACAGCACGTTAGATTTCACCAAAACACCAAAACTCTTAAACCACTGAATTCAGCTGATTTGAGAACATCTGTTGTCTGAGTTTAATTATCTTCTAAGTCTTTCTTGTAAAACAAACAGTGCACCCAGCATGCTTTGCCGTTTCAGCCTGGTCCTGGCCATTATTGCCTTTAGCTATCTGACTCTAGCCACAGCCCAAAGATACACACATCAAAAGAAAGTGTCAGCAGTGTCAGGTATGTGATTCCTGTTTAACAGTGGGGGCATGCAGAGCTCAGCATGGGTGAACTGTAGCACAGAGACCTGATGACCTCTTGGCTGTTATCACCTGATCTGCTTCTCATTGTTCCTTAAAGAGAGGCCAAACACCGGCAGAGATGAGCATGTTTGTCTGCAGTTGTTAGATCACAGGACTCGGGATTACAGATCTTAATGGACTGTTGATTGAAAGCATGAGAGCACAAAACACTGAGCAATATGGCTGCAGATGGAAATCCTCTCATCTGGAGAATGAGTTTTACTTTTAGTGACAACTAAAAATGTCTTTTTTAATCCAAAATCAAAGCCTCTTGGTGTTACATACAAAATTAAAGATGAATGACTCGTAGATTATAATTATCACAGCTCTTTGTAACAGCTTTAAAAAACTAGTTAGCATACATATACAAAGAGCGGCCATCATAGTGTGTTTACAGGTGCAAAAAAAACTGGCTGTAAATTCCCAGCCAGGACAGACAAACCATCATCCCTGTAGAAATGAGAGAGACAACTCATTTAGAATTATAAACCCTTTTCTCTGTTTGTCACTTCTATTGATTTTTCTTCTGCCCCCGTCTCTCATAGTTTATATCTTGCTATAAGATATACTCCTGAAGAGGATTTATTGCAGCTATAGGCCTTGCCCGCCAGGTCTGCCATTACCAACAGATGAAAGGCGAGGGGGGGGCGGTTCAAAGGAGGGAGGCAGGGGGCAGTACAGCAGTGCAGTATTGGATATTGTTTAAATACCGTAAAAAGAGCCTGCTCATTTACCCGGTCAGAGGTTTGAGAAGCAGACTGTTGTGATAATCCTGTGAGTAGCAGGTGGCGATGCTTTAATGTGGGTGTAAAAACAAAATTGCACTTTTTCCATTTTCATTCCAGTCGTTATAATCTCTAAATGAGACGATCGATCGCCTGTTGGCAAGAAAATAGTTCCACTGTTTTTTATTCAAAGTGGACCTGAGGAGAGGATGATGGTGTACTTGCAGGAAAGAGGAAAAAAATAAGCCATATTGTCTTTTTTTTGTTTTTGTTACTCTCTATCTCCTGTTTTTTTTTTTTTCCCTCTCCGACTGGCCTGTCAGGTGTGAGGAAGAGGAGGAGGAGGAGGAGGAGGAGGAAGCAGGCCTTTTTTCTTCTTCCCCCACCACTTCCGAATTACCTGCTGGGTCCGAGCTCTTTTATGCTCTTGTTGTGACAGGTAGATTTATAAGGCTTGAAATTTGTACAAATCAGTTGTCATTCAGCGGCAGCTGTCAATGTGTCAAGCTGTCAGGGCCTGCTGTGAGGGAGATGCCTTAGGGGGCTGAGCGAGGGGGCAACCGCCCAGAAAAGAAAATGAGTTCAAACAGACCTGAGAAGCTCCTCTATTCCACCGGCCTCCCTGCCCCTGTGGAGACACCATCGATTTCTCTTGATGTTGAGCAACAGCGCGCCCAAAAATGACACGCCACACCGCGCTCAACCCAGTCGGGCTGCGACACGCCAACGCGTGCTGTGCCAATCCTCTCAATCTGCAGATGCTTCTCATTCTCCACTAAATGGCTAGAAATGTGTGATCTCTCAGAGGAGGGAGAACACCAGAGTCGTGTTTAGAGCTTGTTGGCGATGGCTGTCGTGTTTTTCATGTGCCGCTTAAGTAGCTGAAATGAAAATCTCTCTAAGGAGAATGACAAGCGTGTTTAAAGATTGCTGTCGATTGTTGTCTTGTTTGCTTGTTTTCTCTGGCCTTGTCTCAGCGTGGGCCTGCCTGTCTGTGATTGGCGGGCCTGCTGGGGCAGTGATGGGCATGACAGCCTCTCTCAGTCAGAGGACCCCAGGTGACACACACCTTCTCTATCCTCTTTCCTTGCACGCGGACTTCACAGAGGAATGGGAGAGACAGGTGCTGCAACCAGTGTGAGGTGTGTGGAAACAAAAGACAACAGCTGACAGAGAAGCTGTGCCATCCGGCGCCGAACACGCCGAGGTGTGGGATGACACAAATATGCTCATATTTCTCTCATGCACATGTCATTGCCGTGTTATTGGTGCTGTTGTCACATTCAGTCTGTGGCAGCAGATGGGGGAGGGCTGGTTGGTATTGATAACACATTATTATCACATGTGGCTCGTCTGTTCTTTCAGCTTTATAATCATTACATTATGATTAAAAGTAGCTGTGTGAAAAATCTAACAGAAATTAGATGCAAAGAAATATCCATAGAAATAATTTGGATTCTTTATGTAATATTGATTTAAAGTTCTTGAGATGACTCGCTCCATGTGTTTGTTTTTAAAACCATATTTTTTTAACTCTAAGTTCGAGCGAAGCCGTTGTTTGCACTGACTGTATCTGTCACAACTGTTATCAGCTTTTTCCAAGTTGTGAAACAGTACATGATGTTGATATCCAAGATTTTTGCCACCTCTCCCCTCTAATTAAATGACAACAACAGTGAAACAAGCTCTCCGTGGATCTGATCCGTCCGCATCCAGGTGTGTTGGCCAAGTTTGTTTTCACACCTTCATGCCTGTGTTTGTTATGTATCGCAGCCAAACCCTCCTCCCCCTGAGACAAACCGAGTATGGCCTGTAACAGAGTCAAAGGTTGGACCAACTGGAGGCTAAGAATGAACACGGGGGAAGTGATTTGAATTCTGCTCCAGAGCTTGTTAATTTGAAAGCTGAGGTCTCAATTCCTTGACATAGCATGCTGCTGCTATGCTAACCTGGCTGCGGTCCAAACCCTCCGCCTAAACATGTGTGCACACAGGCACGGACGTGGACATGCATCAGGCCTGCATGGCTACACTGTAATTACCCTGATGAGGTTTTTGGGGAGGGGAGTGTGGGGGGGGTCCTTCTTCCAGATTGATCATCTCCACCTGGCAACACAGGGTCCCTGAAAGAAAGAGGTTTCATGGGACACTCTTTGGAAGGTGACACTCGCTCAGCAGCTCTGCAACAAGGGGTGAAATATTAATCAAAGTTTTCCATGCAGCTATTAACAGCTGCTGGCCTTGGCCTCCGTGCGTGTCTGTCCATGTATGCATGCATGTGTGTGTGTTTATTATGTGGCAATGAGCAGCAAGTTAGTCCGCAGAGAGATGAGTGTGACGCGTCTGAGTTTGTCTTGTAAAAATGCAGCTGTCCAGGACATGACAGCTACAGCGTTAGAGGGGCCATTATGGGGTGTAGAACATTTCCTGGGAAATGGCTTGAAAAATGACAATGCAGCCTGTGCAATATTAATTGCTACACAGTCCCCATAAATAAGTCAAAAAGCTTTAAGAGAGGAACAAAGTGGAACAGTGCTGGTTATCCATTGATCATAAAACAAGGGAACAACGTTAAATCTTATGCACCATTATTTTTATGATGTTCTTTTCTTAGTAATTAGATTTTAGATGCAGTTTTATGTTCGGGCTGTGGCATTATAATTCATCCTCCCTCCCGTGGGTTATTGTTTTTTATTATGAAAAGCGGTGACTGTTGGAGGATTTTAGTAACACATTGACACAAGTCGCTGAATGACTCCTTTTGTCCTCTTCAACCTTTTGTGACTCTTACTTGTTAAATGTGGGATATTTGTGCTTCAAAGGGGCCCGCCTTTGGTTTGCAAATGAAATCTGGGATGAGATCAGGACTTCCATTTAGTTGCAAATCAACAGCTCATTGTTGGGAAGCTGTCGGCGCATGTTTGTTGCGAAATGTTTTCACGTAATGAATAGCTAACACGTGTCGTCAGTCAACAAGGAAAGGCTAGTTAAAGGACCCTATGATGGTTCTTTATTTGTGATCACAAACCTGAGATCATAAAACACTACAATGAAGGTAATAAAGGGAGTCATGCAACTGGAGTTTATATGTCTGTCTTTGCAGTTAAAACGTGAAAGTTGGTTCAGTAACCTTAAGACTTCATTTTATTCCATTACTTTTTATTAGTCTTATTAGATGCTTAGAACACAAACAAAACTTTCCTGTTGCTTTGGGATCCAAGAGATGAATGTAAACACACGTTTAATAAAGCGGTCTTAGATAGGTTAATGTGCCTCTTTCTGAATTAAAGTTAAAATGAATAAGAAGAACTGCAGCAGCTGAACAGGTTATTGTTTTCACGTCTTGTTCCTCGGTGAGCTTTTGTCTGATTCAGTAAGGGGCATATGTTGTTTAATAGGAAATTAATTCTCACCCCCGCCGCCGCCTCTCCCCCTCGGTAAATCAGGCATGTAAACCAAAAACCTGAACACGGTGACTAATTAGAATCAAAAGGGCCGGAATCCATAATGGCCCTCCTTCACTCAAAACACTACTCTATAATTGGCCATAAATAAACCCTTGCTGTTTTTGTGTGAGCTGTAAACAGCTGAATGCTTCAATTAAGCAGAAATACACCCGCGCCATGTTAAATGCAGGGCGCTGGGGAGCCGCTGACATATGGATATGATCTGTGCTCTCCCCCCCTCTGCTCCAATTCAAGCCTTTTTTTTTTTAGCATGCGTGAGAAGCACAGATAATTTCGTTTTTGCCGGTGTAATATTATAGTGAGTCATAAATAGATGGTTACCCTTTCGGTACTAAAAGTTTTCATTAAACACGCCTGGATTTTGTTATTGACACCGCGGGTTGCCTATGCAGGGAAACACAGTAAAATTTATCAGTGCGCTTTTCCTCACCTAATAAATCATCCAAACAGGGCCGACCATATGGCAGATAAGACCTTGGAAATGTGGCTTCGGCATGCGAAGAGTCAAGTTGCTTGAAATCAGGAACGATCACGGACTCCTCTCTCCCCCCTCTCTCTCCCTCTCCCTCTCTTTCTCTCTTCCTCTCTCACAGAATATCTCCCAGTTATTTTACACGCCATTTTCTTGTTCACCTTATCACCTCTTTGTCACTTGTTTTTTTCACTTTCCCCCAAGAAGAAAGAGAGAGGCAATTCCTGTGTGTAAAGGAGTGGGAGTAGATAACTCTCTCTCCTCTTCCTCCTTCTCTCTGTCTCTCCCCCTCTTACTCTCACTTCCACCCCTCCTCCTCCTCCTCCTCCTCCTCTTTTTTCTCCTTCTCCTCTCTCCCCCCCTTCTGCCGAGAGGGTCCTGGGAGGTGCACTGACTGATGGGAGAGGATGATATATGTAGCGTCTGTGTCCCGGCTCTCCTCTGGCCCTTTGTCATTAATCATAGCCATTAGCTTTTCTCACTGCAGCCTTGTCTGTGCACTGCAATGAAAAAGCAGCCTTTTCTCCCGTATCCCACACCAAGAGAGCGCGCTAATACCTCTACCTCACTGTCACGCAGCTGCATTTTCAGCTCGCGACAAACAGACAACTATTGTAATGTGGAGAATGGATATCGTATCCAAAATGTGATTCTTCACCTAGCGGGACAGGGGGGGAATATGGGAGGACATATTGAGTGGCTGTTAGGTAGAATTGATCTTCAATATTGATTCTTGCAGATATACTTTCTGCTTGTTGTGCTTTTTGTTCTTTCTTCCTCTGCTTTTATCGCAGGTTTTTCTCATAAACCGACTCTTAAAATCTGCAAACAACGCTCTTAAAATGTGGCTACATCTGTTTTGGACCGGTTTGAACTGGACCACAATGGACTTGGCTCCGTGCAAGGCTGTGGAGAGAGTGGGTTTGGACGGCGAGCGTGTGAGCTAATGAGAATAAACAGCTGGCCACTGTGGTGACCATCTAGTGTAATAGAGATGTATGGCCACCGGCTCCTGCACGCCTACTCCTCCAATCCCCAAACTGTGCCTGACAGATATACTAAAGCCTCATCAGTCTAGTCCCAGTCACACCAAAAAAACACAAGCACACACACTTTCCACACACACACACACACACACACTTTTCCACACGCTTCATGCGGGGACATTTACATGCACACAGGCCTGAGCTAACAACTAAAACAGCACTGGTGCAGTTGCAGTCCACATATCCAGTTGTCCAAACGCACACACACACACACACAGAGGCACACAGCCAGCACTTTCCACATTAGAGACTCAACCCTCTTTTTCTCATTTCCCTAACTGTATCATCCATACTGTACCTAATGAAATGATTGCAAGTAGTTATTGCTGACTTATTATCTAGACACACAGCTTTATCAAAATGCTGCATTGATTTAGTGGACTGTGTCGCCGGGAAAACTCCAGGGATATTTCATTTGCCTGGCTACGCCATAATAATGGGACCCATCCCTGTATGCATTATGCATAGATAGACCATAGATAATTCAAACAGGAGGAACACATGCATTACCTCCACGCTGTAACCTCCCAGTCTCATACTGTCTATTATATTAGGTTGTGCTGTTGTTTGTTTTGTGCTGCACCGGGATCCCATTACGCTGAAATGATAAGAACCTACAGTGCAGCCGGCTACACGCGCAAATTTGTGTCATAGTTTTCAGCTTTGATAAATCCCAAACACCTTATTCAGCAGGTATTTGTGCTTCCTCTCATTTGACGCTGTTTTGTCCTCACAAAGACAGAGCTAGCTCCAGGTGGCTCCGAGCCTCCCCCCAGGGTTTGCGGAGCGAGATAAGCGTTTGTCTTTCTCATTCTAAAGTGGCTCCTGTTAAGCTCCATACCTGGAAGATGACTGATTTTGACAATGCAATTTACATCTCTGTATAAAACAATCTCACACTGCGCCTGCCGATTTACACCGGATTAAACTGTTTGTCTCCGTCACGGGGTAACCACACAATCTATCAGGGCCCCTGTGCCTTTTCCGATACCGCATTCCCTCTCCCGTCCCTTGAGAGCAGGAAATTGATCCAGAGTGCAAAGCGGGGCCTCCCCCCTTTTTAAAATTGCTACAACAGCTTTGCAGGACCTACAATTATTGAAACATGCAGATGTCAGTAATTTCAATAAAACTGATATGCTAGTAATGAAAACATCTGACTGAGGGGGCGACGGCTACACGATTTATGGCCGCATTAGAGGGAAAAGGCTGAGATGACAGTTTTGCGGCGTTGCTCGGCACTCCTGTGTTTCGCACGCATTAAAGGCGCAGATCAATTAGCGTCCGGCGCTGTTAGCTTTGCCACAGACAGTCCTTTTTACGGTGACATGAAAAATGCATGGGTTCCTAAGAGAGATTTTGGAGCCATTAGTTGTCTTCATCCTCGCATGTTTTCATGTAAGTGTGCGTTTGCAGTGATGGATGACTTTAGAGCAGCACAAGCTCGCGTCTATCTTTACGATCACAGAAGAAGAAGAACTGTGATTTTCTTTTGTGTATTTAACTCCCGGCGCTGATTTTAAGTAATGACACGCTGTTTTTCAGGATTAAACAAACTATAAAGCCCACTTTAACACTAATATGTGCTTAATTTCCTTCATTATGGTGCCAATTCAGAGCATGCAGTTGTAGTCCACCCACACAGATCAAATACCTTCATGTATCTGTTATTGCAGTGCTATGATCTCATTGTGTCTGAGTGCTGCCTCTCCATTCCCCTCAGGTGAGTCATTGCAGGGCCTGTCACCCCCTCCACTCCATACGCCGAATGTCTCATTCTAATTAAATGAACATTAAGACCCCCGCTTCCGTCTCCTGTCCCTTTCTCTTTCTCGCCCTCTCTGATGCTATCAGAGCCAGGAGAGCTCAAATGTTAAAGTAATGAATGTGTTAGCACCATGACAGGAGCAAGAAGAAGAAGAAGAGGAGAAGGAGGTGGAGAGGAGTCTGATGTGTGACTGTGCAGTGCAGCCAGGTTTTCTCCTCGAGCCGCCGTGGCAGCAACAGGGCTTGGTCACATTCGATTTGCATAACCTGCTAAAAAGCTATCAGAGGCCCTGCAATTGATTGAATTTCACCTCAGAGAAGTGCTAATTAATAACGCCGTGGATCTGACAGGCCTTTATTATGTGCGTGGGACAGGAGATGATGTCTGTATTAGCAGGCTCTCTGGAAGCTGTGGAGGAGAATATAGAATGATGAATTAATGGAACTACGTCCTGGCTCTATCATCATATCATTAGGAGACCATTGATGGTTTCACACCACAGGTAGAAATCTATAAAAGTGTAATGGCACTGTAATATTTAGGCTGCGGCTTATATTATCTGCAGTATATCATGGCTGCTGTATTAGGGTCATATTTTCCATGAGCGCTGAAGTGGAAGTGACCCGGGATTTCAGGAACTGTGGCAGAGATGTCATACCTTAAACACAAACATGGCGAGGTACTTACAGTATTTTAAATTTCTTAAATTGTTTTAACTGCCAGACTTTTCTTCAAGCTAATTTTACATCCGAATGATCTCATTTTTTTCCCCTTATGGCCATACATGAGAAAGACTTCTCATAAAACCAGCCTAAAATGGAGCCAACTCACCAACCACTAGGTGGCTTTTGGGGAGGAAAGCTGACCTGTAATCATCAAAACAAATTACATCAGCATAAGAGGAAATGGTCGTAGAAATGTGCCATGAGAGTTTCAGACAGTTATTATTGGGTTTAGCTTGTTGTTTTGACTTGTCGTTAAAATAAGATCGCTCTTTTTTCAACTCAAGGTAGCGAATTAGATAATGACCAAGTTAAAGTGCCAAAATATAACACTGTATGTACTCCTTGAGCTATTTTTGGATGCTGTCCCCTAGGGGTGTCTCGATAAGATATTGATGTCAGATATCGGTCCTATATTAGCAAAAAAAAAAACCAAATATTGGATTATATCGGCCTGTATCTAAAATCTCCAATATCAGCACTCCGATACAAGCATTCCAGACTCCACTTCGGCACCTCTAACTAGCAGCGCCCTGATCCAGCAAGCTGAGCCCACAAAATCACAACAACAGTGTGTACTAAGGTACTAACAAAGTAGCAAGGAGTAAGAGAGATGTTGTATATTTTGTTTAAGTCTGAAAAAAAAATTGCAGCTCAATGTAAAACTTGTCATGCACAATTTTGTGCCAATATTGGATGAATATTGGTATCGGTCAATATTGAAGTCTACAGTAGCGGAAGTCAGAAAGTTATATCCGGACACTCCTACTGTCCATGACATAGTTTTGTTGTGATGTTAAAATCTAGTGATACAGTACAAAGAGTCTAAAGGACACTTTTAATCTTTTTACTTTCTTTATTATGTGTCTTAGTTACTTCAGATTAGGACGTAAACTAGCGACTAGCAAACATACATCCACAAAAAGGTCAGGTTTGACGTTGTAAGAAGAATTGACCTTAAAGTTATTTCGGTGCCTATAAAACAAGAAATTACAGTGAATGTTACACAGCCAGTAAGCCGACTGTTTAGTGATGTTAGCCGTATTTTTGATGTGCTGTCTTTATTTCTCAAACATAAACCAATTTGTCTCATTATTGTTTACTTGAAAGAGACTCAACACATTTTATTATTTTCGCATTTAGTTGGAAAAAAGATCAAATAACATCACCTTTGCTAGCTGGCATCAGAAGTGTTAGTCTAACTAGCCATTATATTTTATCATGTCGGTAATATATTGAGTCTGCTCACCTGCTGCCATAGAAGGCTGTAGTTCAGTTGTTGATTGCTGCAATAATGCTCTACTACCTGGATGCAAACATGCTTCAATCACGATGGCAACGCAATCTACTCAGCGGGGATAAAACAGTATGTAGCCATTGTCTGGGTCAACTGAGGCAATATGTAACTACTAACCAGACATGACAGGTGGATGTTAACCTGCAAGGTGGACCCAAGGCTGCGGGTGCAAGCTCCAATAATAGCCAAATCCAGCAAAACCCATTGTTTACCCACATACTCTGACCTCATGTTTGGGTGTGTTTCATCCATTTTACTGACTTTTGACATAGAGTAGTTTTATTTGGATGACTGTGATCGTTGAGGGTTTTTAAGCATGTTTTCCTACAGTGTCTCATACCTCTTTTACTGTCACTCAAACCCAAGGATCAAAAGGCTCTTGTATCATGTTATTGCCTTACTTACAGCGTTTCTAATCCACAAATAAGCACCTTTCTATATGTGATGGTGATGACAAACAGAAGACTGTCTAAGCCCAGCTTGGCAGGGGAGTTTCCCATAGTTAAAAAGATTTATTTTTCCGAATCTTGTTCTGGTTTTTGCTCTCTCTCACTTAGTAAGCTCCTCATGGAAAAGCTCTGATTGGTATCTGCCAAGGGCTTTGCTCATTTTGGCCAGATTGCTCCCCCCGTAGCCCGGCCGATAATGCTCCAAATTCACTCTCACCGACGCCATCGCAAACTGCCAGAGCGGTACGCCGTGTTGTTGCCAACAGCAATTACCCTGGTAGAAACAACTTAACTATGTGTAAATGACCAGTGCTGCTTGGTGGATATCATATTTCCTGAATAACTTATTAGATTAAGAGGCTGCATTGTGACGAGATTGAAACCGACAGATAAAGAAATCAAACCCAGATTTTGCCGCACATCTGACCAGAAGTTGTTTCATAACCTCAGTCGACTAATAAGATGAATTCCTTTTGTTTATACCCGTGAACTCTATTGCAATAAAAACAAGCCTTTATTGTCGAACTAGAGAGTGTTTTCCTGTTATGAATTGCAGTTCAGTGGTGAAACAGATACAATAATGTAAACATCTCCCTTTTTATGTCTTTTATTAAGGCGCTATATAAGCACACATATATTAGATACAGCAGCACTGTGTGAAAGAAAGATTAGAGTATTCTGCAGATAAAGAACCACATTATGTTGCTTTACTACTTATTCAAGGTCATACTGTATACTAGTAGCACCGTGATGCTTTCATGGTCTTCAATGCTTATTGCTCTAAATTAGCTCTCCTAAATCATAGTGGCCTTTCAGATAGGACGCCTGAGAGTCCTGCATGTGTTAATGTTGTATACGCCCCGCTCTTCTACTTGAAGCAGAAACGCGCTTCATCACTCCATGAAACAGGGAAATGCCCTGTGGGTAATGAGACTGACTGCAATTGAGAATAAGTTATGGAGCTAATATTCTATATCTGCACATAACCAGGGCTCTACAGGACGTCATAAACACACACTTGGGTGTGTTTTCCCAAACATCATTCTGCCGTGCATATTATTTCCCTGTCTGTCTTCACGGTGGTTTTTGTAATTGTTGGGTGACTTGATGGATTGCATTTGATATGTCAGCATAGTTTCCCCTGAGGTTTCCGTTTCTTCAGGGCAGCGTAAGCCATTCTCTATGGTTTGTCTGTGTGTGACGTGCATTAATGCCCTCCTCTGATCTGGATCCAGGTTGTTAAGCCGTCGTGTGAAAAGTCCAAACAGCGTTGCAGGGAGTGTGTTGTCTCCTTAAAGAGAGAGCTCTGGTATCAGGTAGGATTTAAATCCCAGCTCAGGACCTCCCAAAGAGTCATTTGTCCAAATGAGCATTAGTCATTATTCTTTAAGCCCTTATTGGAGCTCATGGATCTCCCAACAAATAGGTGGCCCGTGACAGAAATAAGGTGTAAGCACTCAATATCCCACCTCCTTACTCCACTCTCCACTCCCCCCCACTCTTTTCTCACTGCCTTTTTTCTCCCGGTGTAACACAAAGACATGCATAATGTGGACTGCAATCTGATAAGTGTTCCTGCATAGTAGCCCTCCCCTGCTCTATACATCACAACAGTTCCACTGAGTGTGTATATGTGTGTTTGCAGGAGAGAGTGAGCAGATCAGAGCAGGGGGAGCTGCAGTCAGGATTGAACTGGGCTGTCTGAAGTTGATTAATCGGCCTGTGAGGGTGAGAGACTCCCGGGCCAGGCAGCAGGGTCCATCCCCGTGGCATGTGATGCTGATTGGCTTTGTCCTGTGCGTCTGCGCTGGAGGAGCGGACATTAAGATTAAGTGATGCTGTCGTGTCGGGGAGCACTGCACTGCATCATTCTGGGAAGAGACAGCTGTGCTGCTTAATCCTTCATCACCAGGGGAGAGCTGCCAGGGCCCAGATATACAGCCAAAGATAACCCTCCATAACTTCTGCTAAAGATCAGGAAACTTTGAATTCGCATCCATCTGCTCGGCTCTGTTCGGCTCAACCCCCCCTCCTCGTCTGAGTGCCTGAAATGAGCAGTCACTAAGAACGCTAAATAAAAGGGAGGAGGAGGAGGAGAAAGTGAAGGATGGCTGGAGGGAGTAAGCTTAGACCAGTAGTGTGCATGAGCTGTGTATGGATAACCTCTGGCACCGAGGACTGCCTTTTGTCTTCCTAAATGAAAGATTCATGATGCATAAATTATAAGCAGGCTGTAGTTCCTGCAGAGTATCATTCAGATTACTCAAGGCATTTTATCATTTTAAGATGTCCTCAACATCAAAACCTATTTATTGTTCGGGAACTATGGGCACCTGGAAACTTTAGTGCATTGACAACGCACAAGATCACGCTAATGAGGGAGGGGAGACCAAGTGCAGTTAAATTTGTGGTTCTAAGAATTAATATTCAATAGTAAATCTTTTGGTTTGTCTATGAAGACATCTGGAAATCTTGGCCAGTAAGTCAGTGTGTCTAATTTACAGTCTAATTGGCAACAAAAGTAAATGAATAAACAAATATAGATTGATAAATAAATAAATAAAGTAATTCATATTTTTTTGTTTCTGCATGCTTAAAGCTGCTGTGAAGAGATTTTTCGGGTTACAAAACACTTTAAAATGGAAACCAATGTTACTGTATGGCACACAAAAGAAAACTATACCAACAGCAAGACAGTTTACTGTTCCTTTATTGTTAGTTTTGATGCCTGGAAGCTCTGCAGGAGGGTAGGTGTCAGATAAGGAAAGACAAAACACTGCATAAATAAATATTTCAATATTTTCTGCATGTGAAGATGAGCTGTAAGTGATTTGTTTGACTGTTGATAGCCAAGATGCATTTTATTTTTTAAAAAATCCTATTTTTGCACCGAGAGTAGAAGATCAACGAAGATATGAGAGGCACAGATTTGTCCACAGGAGGCGCCAAAACCAACATGAACCAAATGCTTTCCACAGAAGCTTAGAAAATATCTTTTTTTTTTTTGTTATTTTATTTATTTTTCATTATTACTATAAAATTGAAGTTGTTTTTTTTTTTTTTTAACTGTTCAGTGTCAATAAAAACCTTCCCAGAGACAGAAACCATCCATGTTTCTCTTCAGACCCATGTGTGAGCCACTTCTCTTAGAATGGATCGTATTTACTTTGGGTTTGCCGGGGAGAAAAGCAAGCTGCTGTGTTGTGAGAGCAGATAAATCCTGGGTGGAGGCCGAGGAGCTGACTGATTCCTCCTGTATGCAGCGATGGGTGGCGTCAGCAGGTTTCACACTGCTGGCCTTTGCATGTTTGCAGCTGGCTTGATGCAGCTGTCAGGCCGTGATTGATGAGTATCATCATTTAAAGTGTAAAAGAAAACGTCTCTGTGAAGGGAGACATGATGAACTGCCGCCTGCTGGCGCTCTCTGAGACACGCACGGTGCTTCCTCCTCCCTCTCCTGTTTCTCCCCTTCTCCTTCTCCCTTTTTCTACTTCACTGCTCCCCCTGTCTACCCCTCCGTCCTTCCCTCTCTTTTTACTTCTTTTTCTCTACCTTCTCCACCCTTTCTTTGACTTTTGAGCACCTCCCTCGCTGTCTCCTCTTTTTCTCTGTTCCTCCCACTTTTCTCCTTTTGCTCTCTCATCCTGTCTCTCTACTGCCCCCGTGATTTCCGCGTCTGTCCTCCCTCTTTTATTCAGCTTTATCTAACTCACTTTTGGTGTGTCACTCTTCTGTCTCTATGATTCTTCCTCTTACACTTTCACTCCCTTCTTACACCTTTCCTGCCCTCTATATGTCTCCTGAAGACAAGGGAGTCTCCAGAAGCAGACAGCGCTTGGGTCTGGACTGTGCATTTTGTCTCTGATACCCCTCAAATCGCATTAAACGTCAAAATTCATACGGCCTCGTCAGGTGATATATTTAGTCCCGTTTGCCTGCTGCATACCTCCACAGCCACCATGACAGTGACATATTAGTTATGCCGTCTTTTGCAATGTGATATCTTTAAATTTGCCACCTTGTTAAGTTTTGATTAATGCGATTCCATTTCAGCAAAGTAATTGGCTTGGCCCTGTTGTGAGCGATACACAGGCGCCGTGCCGGAACAAACGCTGCAACATGGTAATGAGGCAATGAGTTTGTTCTATGGTTGTTGGCAAGTGACAGTTATTAATGATTGTTATGATAAACAGACGAGTGCAGATCGAGAAGAGGAGGGGGTGGATGAGTCGGGCCAGACTGACAGTTTAAAAATAACGTGCACTGGAAAGTACTAACGAAGTAATACAGTGTTAGGAAAACAATCATGCAGGTTGTCAGAGGAAGAGGTGTAATTACAGCGCTACACCGGCCTGCCTGGGAGGAGCCGGCTTCTAATAGAGCTGGAGGAATATACACTGACAGAAGAGAGTGCAATGATATACAACTTTAATTGGATCATCTTTTTACCCCCCCCTCCTCTCTTTTCTCAGAATACAAAGGAGGTCTGTGCTCACAGCTGTGTTATGATAGGTTTGCTCTCCTGTGAAGACTGGTGACCCTTTGTAAATGGTTGTATAGCACAGGGAACCGCTGTGTTTGTGTGATCTGAACATGGACTGTATTACTGTTGCTCTCCTGGTCTCTGCTCTGTATCAAAGCCGGGGAAATGTGTACACAATGTGTTTAAACGGTGTGAAGTGATGTAAACGGAGCGCCACTTTAGCCTCACTTTCTATTTCCATACAGAGGAGAAGTATTTTACGTGAAGAAAAACCACCTTTTGTTTCTTGTTCTGTTATCCACAACTGTCGCACTCGATTGATGTAATTGTCCTTACAAATCCTGGATGAAATTGAGTCTGAGCGCTTGTATAAACGATAGATAAAAGCCATATGTCACACAACTGTTTACTCACTAACCGCCGTTTCCTATTTGCTTCTCTTTTGCGTGTAGGCGTATGTTAGATTTGTCCATCTTCCGTTGTCAAGCCTGAACTTTTGGTGACACCTAACCTGTTCCAGTGCGAGGCGAGGTTGTCATGAAATACTTTTCTTTTGGAATGTGACGATCAGATGACTTTGCCGACCTTTGAGTGAACCTTGTCTGGTGTTGATTTAGTGAGGCACAGAGATCAAAGAGATCCCTCTCAGCTTTTGTCAGTGGGCTGTTGGTGTATTGGCCCCGAGTGTGAACAAAACCAATCCTACACAACACTGAACTAACTGTGAACTAGAGGCATGCTGACTGTACCGAGGTCACCGCTGGAACCGAGGCTTTATTGAATTTTTTTTGACGATTTTAACCTGACATTATTTCTCTCCTTTTTAACTTTTGAGGAGCGAAATGTAAACCTCACCACATAGAAGATACTCTTTCATAGATGAGAGATGGAGACGGAAAGTAAAGCTTCGAAGGCCTCTGTGAAAATCTTCTCATGCGCGCAGCATGGTCCGCCTCGCATATACAAGAAATCCAAAGTGTGTGTTCTCTGTGTTGTTTTCCAAAGTGCTGACTCTGAGACAGCACTTTCTGTAAACCAAAGACGCCACCTATCTTCCTATCTTATCGCATCTTTAAACAATCATATCCAGGCCTAGTTTGGCTCTTAGCGATGTGAGTGCAGGCCAGGAGGAACTGGAAAGGGCTTTCAAGATCATGCTCAACAGCCTAAAAGTATCTTTTCTTTGTTACCATTGGGAATTTGGCCAAATAAATAGCTTGGATCTGATTGTGGACACTTAAAGCTCCTGTTAGATGTTTTTGATGAGTCACCAAACCGATCAAAATCAACAGAGATGCATCTTTTATTACCTATAAAGCAAACAAGACCATTAGCAAAAGGACTGACAATTACTGTGATGAAATTTTTAATGCCCAATAAAGGGTAAAATGACCCTTTATTTTTCCACAGAGCTGAGGAACGCAGAATGTTTTTTTTTTTTTTCCTCCAGCTTATGCATTTAATAGGGTGACCGTATTCGGAATACCCTAAAAGAGGACATGACTATGTGGGGCGGAGTCAAGGAGTTGTGCACAGTTAATTTTGAGGGTTTTCCAGTTGGATCGAGTGTCTTTCGAACTCGAAACCTCCATACAAAACCCCGGACATTTGATGGATTTCATAAACTCCCCCTGACAAAGCCAGACAAGGCTAGACAGCCCCCCTAGGACATGTCATGGTAAAAGAGAACGTATAGTCACCCTAACATTTAATGCATGTAAATATGTATTTTACTTCACTGTATTTTGTCACATTTTCCATGATGTGTGCTGATGACCTCTTGGCCAGGTCACCCTTGTGAAAGAGATCTTGATCTCAATGGGTTTTTTAATCTGGTTAAATAAATGTTAAATAAAAATAAAAAAAAATACAAGCTCAGCATAGACAGAAGAGGTATCATTTTGTCCACAGGGGGCGCCACAATTAAGACAACAGAAAGTTTCTCACAGGATCTTTAAAGATAATTACATATGGAAATATCACTGAAATAGAAACTATGAACCAAACTTGTTAAATCCTCCGTACACAGTTGCTATCCCTTAGTAACTTCTTGTTTGTGTTGATTCTGGCGCCCCCTGTGGACAAAGTTGTTTTCAGCTGCTATAAGACAGTGTTTTCTGGCAGAAGAAATCCTCTTTTGTCTCCCACAGTGTGTCCCTCACTCTGGAAAATGTTTTAAAGCATGATTATTTCTTCAGGATACTATTAATTGTCCTGTATGACACATACCCGATCGCATTGATTAAAGGTATAAAAAATTCCCCTACAGAAACACTAATTCTAGTCGCTGGTGGTCTGGTTTGCTTTTGTAGATCAATAAGAGGCATCAGTATTGATCTCAGTCTGTTTCATTACCAGCTAAAAACTCCTTACAGCGGCTTTACAATCATTCAAGGTCCAACTGTGGAAACTGATTGTGGTGTAATGGTTAGAGAATAAGTAGTGATTCAGTGCCATTTTTAAATAAACTGAAAAAGTATTGTCATCCTCTAATGGTTTTAGTTGGCGGTAAGTGGCCTGGTTGGAATTTCAGGACCCTACACAATCCATTATCTTAGTTTTCCAACACCCTGTCATTGTTGACAGGTGGATTATAATTTTTCTATAGCAGAACAATTGAAATGACAGCGGTTTAACAAACTTGGATAGGACAAAGGAGACACAGAGTTCCAACAGGAAATATGCTGCCAACATTTGTGTGCACTCTGTTTTAGGAAGTAAAAAGTCCTGCTTTCTATCTTCCTCAGGAGTAAGAGTTTTCCAGATTGTCCAAATATGCACTGAACAGGACTGGCTTTGATAAATGAGTGGTTAAAACTGTTTCTACATGAACAGTCATACTGGAAACCCACAAAACTTTGACCAAGAAAGTAAAACAACGAAAAAAAAAACTACAAACTGGAAGTATACTCATACAAAGAATTTATTGCCCTAGATTTAAAACATAGAATTATTCAAGCAGTTTGATCTCCCCTGCACTCTTTCTATTATAAACAGCTTTAGCACCAGTTCAGTGTTGTATTGGCCGGGCTCCCATTTCCATGCTGCTTGCTTCTTGGCGCTGTCAGGCTCATTCTCTTCACGGCTCCATTCTTTTTCTTTTTGAAGGCTGTGATTCCTGGCCATATGGAGCCCATCCCTTTGTCTTGTGTGGTGCTATCACATCGCAGGCCCTACACTTTTTTTTTTTTCCTTTCCAAGGCTGGGTTAGCGTGTGGAGCTGCTTGGTGACTGTCAGCCCCGGTAGTCTTCTGTTTGTTGACATGTGAAGCCGGGCAGCATACTGTAGGCCTGATGTTGGAACTCACTTACAATTAAGCTGAGAAGACGCTGACATGGGGCCTTCTGCCTCGACAAGTATCAGGAGGAGACAGCTGTGTGTTATCCCATAGAGCATAAATCACTTATTGCTTTGCCTATTTAAGAGAACATTGAATGAATGTTGACTTAACTTAACAAGAATGCATGAACTTAAAAAACATTTCTAGTCGTATCTCTCAGTAGGAAACAGATGAGTAACAGGAGGTGAAGGAGAAAGTACGAACAGCGTGGAGTTGGTTGCCTCTCTCTCCCAGCTGCACACTGTCTCATTGGGCATGTATCAACACTCGCCTCCACTTCCCCTCCTCAGTGTCCCCACTTCCCTGAACTTCTCAACAACTACAGCCCCCAAGCCCCTGTGCCTTCATAATGAGTTTAGTCAGAGTGATTAGAGCTGTACTATTCTACTGTCAGTGATTATTAGACACGAGCCAAAGCTGAAGACCTTTGTCAGCTATTATTTTAATGGCGCTATTAGTATGAGTCCTTGGTGGTCATCACATTCATCAGTCATTACAGGCCTATTTCTGTTGTGCACGGTGATAGATGGACCTGACCAACATCTGACAATTTAAACCAAAATCAATTTAAAAAAGGACAAAAAAAAAATCTGTTGGAATTCATACTTACGAATTTTGCTCAACTTTTTCTTTGTAATGTCTGTATGAATGTACTCAAAGGGTAACCAGGTAACTCTATAAAATCAGGGGTTGTCAACAAATCTGTCTGTGATCACCTTAGACCATATGAAACATAAAAACGTCTCAGTGTTTCTGACAGACAAGGTTTAAAACATTCACCCCATGAGAATACAGACCAATCCCAACCAAGATTTGAGAGTGCTGCTTAGTGATGACCCAGAAGTGTAATGAAGCCCAAAGAGGGCAGTCCCCAACTTGCAAATATGCTGAGTCCAACAAACTTCCACTCATCAAGAAAAAAGCAAAAAAAATGGAGTTGATTGGTGCCTTTTAAACAGCAAATCTCTGTACAACTCTTTAAACTCATTGTGCTTAACGCTTAGCATAAGTCTGTACAGTTGAGGAAACAGTAACCAGAGCTCTTACTTTAAAAGTGAGAATTTAAGGGGGTGCCAGTTTGCTGCGTGCCGTTCCCCGATCTCTTCTCAGTTTCCTAATCCTCTGTTCTAGCTCTAAACAAAGGGATAAAGCCGCCCATTATTATAATATGAGCTCTTAAAGGGTTCCTTTGAGTGTTGGAGACAGTTTTTTTGGTGCTGTGCATTGGCTTGATTAAAATCTATGATTCTGTGCGGAACATATGGCCAACTACAGAGTTGTTTGGAATAGAGCAAACTAAGGGCAGAATTTAAAGCGATCACAACAACCTGAAAATCACCACATACTGTTTTTGTCATGAATTCAGAGGGAACCGGTTTAATATCGGCCAAAAACATACCGATATCGTTCATAATGGCCTGATGATACATAGTGATTAGGGCTGGGACGATATGCTTTTCTCCCGATTTGATTCTTCGACGATTTTTTGATACAATTTAAATTGCGATTCTACGATGTTGTCGATTTTCTCGATTTTTAATCTGCATATTTAACACCAGTGAAACAGTTGAATGTGTATAATTGTCTACTGACTATTCCAGGAACCATATCTCCCCAAAAGATACACATCATATGTAATAAGATTTATTCTTTAAAAAAAAAAAAAATTGAATTTGATTTAAAAATTGTAAAACAAAAAATACTTATGCGAATCAATTTTCTCTCCCACTCCTAATGGTGATATAGAGTTTGTTGGATAACTATTACCAATACTGTGTACTTCTGCTTTTATATGAAATCCAGTGTGGGTTTTTCCATTAGAAAACCTCAGATTGAACCTTTAATTTCACGTAGTCATGCTGTCTGTGTCCCTTCCCTAATCAGATGAGAGACATCAGAAAGAGCAGAAGTTAGCTTTGCTTACTGGAGTGAAGTGACACCTGTCTCCCACACTGCTCTAACTTGTGAAGTTAATCCCTCTGAAGAGGCCTGTCACATGACAGAGAAGACCACCATGGAGAGAGAGAGAGAGAGAGAGAGAGAGCCCTGAGCTTGACTCCATTTTTTTTTCTTCTTCTAAAAACTTCAACAAGTCTGAAGCAAAGTTGTAATCTGTTATTGGAGTATAATTAAAGATAAAACTGTCATTATCGTAGCCAGAAGCAGTTCCTTTACATCTGTGGTTAGTGCAGTCATCCATCAAGATATCTGGATGATAATTATGACAGTTTTGTGGTGGCAAAAGTGCAACCTGATGTGTTACCCATGAGTACACGCTATATGATACATGAAGGCTAGTGCAATATGAGCGGGCTTAAAAGCTGCTTACAGGATGTGCTGATGTGTTCTATCTTGGAGGGGGACTGTGGTGGGAGCAGAGTGATGTTGATTGATTTTCTGTGGCAGTGGGTCATCTTAGGTTGGCTCTTCTTGATTTTCAAATGCTGAACTGCTGTAGTCATGTAAAGACACCCGGGCTCGTCAGCTGCATTACTCAACTATGTGGGAACATGTCAGACGTTTAGACGGTTGTTGAAAAATACAAAATTTGCAAATATATTAGAATAGACGTGGATTGTAAATGAGATAAAACAAGAATGATAATATGTCTGATTATCATACACTTTATTAAAATAAACTCGAATACAGTGGCTCTCAACTGGTGGGTCCCGACCCAAAAGTGGGTTGCAGACACTTTCTAGGTGGGTCGCAAACAGCTGGTCAAAAAAGTAAATATTTTATGCGCATCTGATGTTTGACATGTCTTTTATTTTGAAAAACAACTTATTTTAAAAGGCACTCGTTATGCTGTGGTCCTCCTCGGTTTCTTATTAATGTGGCCTGAATGTAGTAAAATTACATGTTTTTATGGTCTTTATTTTGTGCAACTTGTTATTTATTCACTTTTTTCCATGCTGTTGCAGAGTCCTCCTCAGGTTCTTTAGTCTTTACAGGTTTTTTTATAAAAATTAAATTTTCTTTGTTTGAATTTTATAAAAGTGGGTCGTGACTTAAGGATCATGGGAAAATGTGGGTCCCAGAGTGAGACCAGTTGAGAACTACTGATCTAAAATATACCCATTTAATAAAACAAAAATACCATATAAAACAACATTTTTTTTCTTGTCTTGAAAGTTTTGCATGTGAACAGATCCTAATACTAAATATATTTCCTCTCTTTTTCATGTCTGCCTTCTGTGCCTGATTCTGCGTCTCCTTCAAAACAGGTAAGCTCTTCATTATTTACCTCTAAAAAAGACGTCTACCATGCTGAAATGTGTAACACAGTCGCTCTCAGATCTTTTTCTACTGTTTTTCTACTGTTTTCTAAAAAGTTGAAGTCCGCTCAGCTCAACCATCTGGCTTCTTTATTTACCGTGCGCAGCGTCAGTGTGTGCGTATTAATCATGCTTACACAAGTGTCTTAATTACTCCCAATGTAGCTGCTCCCTCCTAAACCCAGGAGATGACCTTTCTTCCTCTCTTCCTTTACGCCATTAATCATCCATAATCAACACCTTCAGAGTCAAGGAGAGGGCCACTCAGAGCTGCCCAACACTGCCCACAGACCTCTGTCACACGCACACTCAGATCTTTATTAATGGCCCACACGTGGATTCAAGACATGCAGAACTACACACATAAACACTAACTTTAACATTGCTGTTTTAAAGGGCGTGTCTAATTCATCCGTAGGAGGCGTTTTGTGAAAGTGTACCTCCATGATGTATCCTTCTTCATGAAGGTCACTTTTCCATTAATATTCAGGAGTCAATTGTCTGTCATTTTGATGCTCTCTTATATCCTGCATGAAACTGGAGCAGCGTGCCCACAGGCCTAACAAATGGTATTTCACTTATGAATGCGATACTCTGACATTCATGGCAGACACTGATTCATAGCCGTCACATGGCTGATATGTCTAAGTGCCTGGGACACACAAGGAAGTGAAAAACTATGGTGTGCAGGGGCTTTTAACATTTCAGATCTTGTTTAGCCCTGCCAATGGCAGATTGACAAGTGGAGTTTCAGCTGTAGCAGGTAACTGACGTGCCTGGCTTCTCCCCCCTGCTGACTGAAAGCTTAATATGTCATTTGTCAGTCAAGGATGGGCTTTCATTCAATCATGGCTTGGCATCCACTCAAATGCCAGCTGGGGCTTCGATTTCATGCAAAAGAGAAGTTGCACTTAGCCAGCATGTACTGGCTGAAGGGATGTGTCAGGTTCAGTAACATTGTTGTTTATTAAGATCCAGCAGAATAACCCGACAGTTATATTCCCATCTTTGATTCACATTGTTGCCACAACTAGTCACTGGTTGTCTTTTTAAAGAACGAAGATATTTCTGAAACATTTGATCATCTTGCATCACTTACATGCAAAAGGACAAAACGCCACTTCAAAGTTCTATAATAGTTTTATGACTGCCCACAAATTGCTATCATAAATTTTTCATTCTTTTTCATTTACTGTCATAAATCACGGCCGCTGTGGGCTCTCCGCTCTAAATGGGATTGCTCCATAGTTTTGGCATGCAGCAATCTGGCTTTGGATCTCTGAAAAACAGACAGCACAAGGAAGGTAGTGCATTAATTTAGAGCCATAAATTATGCACTTACTTTTATAATGTCATACCATAAATAATGTTGATGCATTGGGAACTGCAACACATCACCCATAGAAATTATGCATTTGAGATGAATGAGGACGCTGTGATGGATAATAGTTCTCAACCAATGTGATCTATATAAGTTTGCTCCCCGGAGGAAATGATAGTGCAAAATTAAGAATGCAAGTTCTAGAGGAGCTGGTTGATAATTGATGAAGCTTTCCATCTTAACTCTGGCCAGTTTCACTCTTTGTTTTTATGCTAACATTGTGTCATATCCATCAAACCTTACCGTACCCAAAACACATTTTTCTTTTTCATTTCCAATTTCTGCAGCAACAAAAACGAGCCGAGCCTCCTCCTCCTCACGCTTCACTGATGCACATGTGTAACTTGGCCTCAGTGCCAACAGAAATGTTGCCTCTGGTTTATCTAGCCTACTCCCCAGAGTACCAGATGGATGATTAAGTGTGGGACTTTACTACGGCTTGTGCAAATGCTTAGTACACTGAACTCCGGAATATTGTGTATTATCTGCCATTAGGTGGGGATAATATTAGCCATTCTCCCTGTAATGGCTTCAGAGAAGAATAATTGAATGTGCTCATGTGCTCTGGTTCAGCGGAGTCCTGTGTGAATGGGAATGCATCAACACTCGTCTGCTTTTGATATCATACTACTGTATTCCTCTTCAAACTGAGCATCATGGGAGTCTTTGCCATTGAGCCGTGAACACTTCCAATCTAGTTGTGTGCTTTTATGATCTTCTTGATGTATTAATTATCCGCAGAGAAGCTCGCTCGGACAGCTCGTTCATTTTTGCTTGATTTTATTGGCAAACCTTTCTTAAGAAGTCAAGGTAAATGCCATGATCGATACTGCAGTATTGGCTTGCATTATCATGATAATCTTGTACGCCGAAATGGCGAGAGAGACTAAAGATGAGCAGGATGGTTGTGACTGGCTAAGGAAGAAACATTAATAATGTAAGCTTAAAAAAGGAAACTTAAAAACTGCTTAGTATGCTTCTGTTTGGCACTCCCGGTCTCCTCTGACATTGGCGATTGCTGCCTGAAATATCGCCTCAGATTGTGTTTAATAAGGCTTGAGCTGGTTCAATGATCTTAAATGCTGCCGATACAGCCTAATGTGGCATTGCATACATTCAGGTACTGAAGACCAATCATACTTTTGTGTGGTGGCCATCCAAAGAAAATCATTTTGTGGCATATTTAAAACTGTTGCATTCCCAATAAAATACTTAAATATAAATATGTGGATGCTGGTCATAGCTACTGCAATAAACCACCAAAGAAGAATAGTGTGTTCTGAACAGAGAATGTCAAAGCTAGCAAATGATTGCAGCTGTATTTTCCTATTGCGCTCTTTTCATTTCTTTATTTTTATTTTTATATATATATATTTCTGTTTTATCTTTTCACCCTAATTTCTAATGCCTGAAGCTGGTGTGAGAGGTTAGATGTAAGCCAAACAACTGAAGAAACAGCCCTGTTGTTACAATTTACAACAAAAATATTCACTGAAACTAATATATTTGACTATCAAAAGAATTTAGAGGAAAAATATGCAAATAACACTTTGTCCACAGAGGGCGCTAAAATTGACTCAAACTGAAAGTTCCTCGCAGGAGCTTTAAATATCTCTTAGTTTTTTTGTTGTTACTTGTCTGTTTTTGTATTAACTCAAGGTTTATTTTT